CTCCGATGCCGGGAATCGAACCCGGGTCTCCTGGGTGAAAGCCAGATATCCTAACCGCTGGACGACATCGGATTTGTTATTGTGGAAACCAATAGTTTATATCTAAACAAACAAAAAAACCATCTTTGTTGGAATTACTTTTTGTTTTTCGTTTTATTAAAAAATGGAATCACTCTTTCAGTCCTCTCTCTTTGTTGAAGTAATTGGGTAGATGAAAAAAAAAAAAAAAAAAAAAAAGTCCTCTCTCTTTGTTGTTTGTCACGAGAAAACAGCATCTTATCTTTACAAGATCGAACTAAGACCATCCAAACATTCAACTTTTTAGTTGTACAGAATGAAAGAATCTTTAAAAGTACAAACATTGATTACCAATAATGTCTTCAGATATTATAAGTGATTAAAACATATGTGAAAGCCTAAGTGTTTCTTGGTTCAATTCTTAAATATTCAAACATATATAATTTCTTCAAGTTTATAATTTTTTCAAAGAAGGATTTTGTATTTTTGTGTTTGTAAGAAAAAAATATTTCAATAGCAAGAATCATTGAATCTAAGCTAATCTTAAAGAAATAATTAAAAATATAGGACAAAAAAACACTACTATTGTCCCCTTAATACTTATATAAAATAATTTGTCCCCCTAAGATTTCTACAAATATTTTAACCTCTTCTACCCTTTTAATTCAAATTTAACAATAAAAATTAAATTCTTAAAAGTAAAAAAAAAAATATTACTCTTACATTGTAGAAGCCGCCTCCTACCACCCATCTCCTTCATCGTAAAAAAAAAAGTTCAGAGAACTTCTCCTTCCTCTTTCACCGGAACTTCTTCTCTATCTCCGGTAAGTTCCGGCGAACAGCCGTCCTCCTCTAAGTTATGAAGAAAACGTGAAAGTTTGTAAGTTGAAAGAGGAGAAAAAACGCTAAATTGAGGAGGGGAAGAAAAAAAATGGCGACAGAATTCTCTAAATTGAAAAAAAAAAATTCAAAAATTAATTAGGAAATTAAATATTATAAAAAGGAAAGTAATATATTCTCCTAGATCTGCTCTTAGATTTTCGGAAATTCATTTAACTGAATTGTAGAATAGGTATTCTATAATTGTAGAATAAAGGGTTTCCGTAGAAATGAGATTCTACTAAGTTTGTAGAACAAAGAGTTTCCGTAGAAATCCAATTCTACTAAGATGTAGAACAAAGAGTGAACTATAGAAATATAATTCTACTAAACTGTAGAACAATGATAAATTTATAGAATACGGTTTCACAGCTTTTGTAGAACATAGAAGAAATGTAGAAAACTAATTCTATATTTTTAGTAGAAAACTAATGAAATAGTAGAAAGCCTATTCTATAATTTATATATTTATAGAATGCACTTTCTACTAATTTGGAAAATATTTGTAAAACAAATGTTTAAATTTTTTTAAAAAATATATTCTATTTCAGAAAGTATTCGTAATTCCCTTTTTTATTTTTCCAAAAATTTTTAGACTGTAAAACTATTTTTTTTTTAATTTTCGAAATCCTATAAAAGGGTATTTATGTCCAAAAGTGACTAAATTTGAAAAAGTCTTAAAGGAACAATATTACAGATTTTTTGTCTTATAAATATAATTGTCCCAATCTTAAACCTACAGAAATCCGGATTTTTTATCATTGAACTACAAATGGCCAATGATGATTCAAACTACAGTGAAAAGATTCAAATTAAGTTCTGCCAATTTTAAAGTGAATTCTTTAGCGATTGGACTCTCACCATTTTTTAAAAAACTTTATACATTATTTAACGACTAGTGACAATTATTTCAAATTTTAAGTTTTCTGATAGTATATGAAATCAATAATCAGATCAGCAGATTCACAATTAATAATCAGATCAGCAGATTCACAATTAATAATCAGATCATCGGATTCTTGCTTATTCACCAAAGAAATCATTGGATTCTCGCAGATTGGAATGAACAACTTTATCCTTAAATTAGATAGACACAGCAAAAGCTATCGTTGTTTAGCTAGAACTTGGTAAATGGTAAGGAATAAAAGAAAAAGAATGGAGAAGAAAAAAAACAAAAGCCTTCTGGACAAGTGTCGTGAAACCAACGAAAGAGAATCTTATCAATCAAATTCAACGGTATCAATATCTCGAGACGTTTCAGTTCCTCCTTCAAAATAAACGATTCCCGTGAAATATCTGGATTAGTTGGACACGTGTCATGCTATAGTTGGATACAAAGCCGTTTCTTTTTGTCCGTCCGTTAGATTCCTTGTGGTCTTTATTGTGTGTATAGGGCACTAGACATTTTACATGCTATTTGGTTATAGGAATGAAATATTATTTCAAAAATTCCAAATGATATTAATTTGAAAGAAAGTTGTGTTTGGCTAGCAGAAAAAAAGCGTCGAATAAAGTTGCTTTGCGTCGTGGGATCTTGTACATTGGATTATGCGAAAGATCCTTTTTGCTAATAGGTATGATGTCATGTCACGTTAGTTTTTTTTTTCTGCTAAATAAGTCACGTTAGTTTTGCATAGTAAGAAGCAAAATATATGAATAAATTAAAACCTTAGCTGTAGTGTTATTAGTGAGAAAGACTATAATTAATTGCATAGCATCGACTAGGTGCGACTAGGATACAACAAGCTATACTATAAGAAACAGTATCCATATTGAAATGCATAACTTGTTAATAAAATGCTAAAGAGATTAGAAAAATATTCGATAAAGAAAAGCAACTAAACCATTGAAAATCACTATAAACTTTTTTTTTGGGTTTGTTAACTAAAGCACTATAAATTTTATGGCAAACATACAATGGTTACGTGATTTTCTTAAACTATAGCTCAATGTGAATGTAAATGGACGTTACGTAATTTCGTTAAACTACATCCCGAGTTCTTTTGGCCACTTAACTTTTTCTACAATCACATACGCCAATATGTGTCGATTTCTAATACAGCAAGTAATTTGTGGTAGCAAATTTGTTTAATATATGTTTGATAATTCTCAATTGGATAAAACGACAGAACGAAACTAAAGATTATAAAAACCAGAAAAACAAAAAACTGAAGATGAGATGTCATTCTAAAGATTATTTATAAGGTTGTTTACTTATATAGTTCAGTTATATATTATAGCAGTGCAAACTGAAAAGCACGAATTCATGTATCGTACGACTATATAGTGCGTTTTGCTAATCTAAGAAAATCGTTTGAATACAAATGTTTTTTTTTTTTTGGTTAATGTTGAGCGCAAGTATTTACTTTAATCGATTTCATTCCGTCAAATCGAGGTTTGAATATACGGCTATGTTTGAGATAGAAATGAATATATGCTTTATACTCGGCTTGGAAATTAGATTACTGTACTTACATCCATTGGATTGGATAATGAATAATGACTATTATTCATTTTGATGTTGTAAAATGCGGAATAACAGATGTACGTAACGTCATAACCTCTTATTTCATCAAGAACCCCTTATTCCACATTATCTGGCCCATGTTTCCCAAATCCTAATTCAACATATACACCAAAATACCCAATTTAAATATTTTCGCTTCGTTCCCTAAACACCTGATTCGTTCGTCCCTTAAACACCTGATTCGATACGGTAATGTCGGATCCATAATCGATTTAAAGACATAAATACAGTAACTGTTACGACTTTTTTTTGTGAGAAATTAAAACTTTTCATTAGCTGTATTTTTGGTACCTCGATGGTTAATGAAAGTAGCTATTTATTCTGACCCGACGGAAATACCATGTACATGTTTTCATTATCAATCATAAGTTGCTTTTTTACAAATCTTCCACATATTATAACATTTCGGTTATACAAATAAATAACAGACCCGACGGAATAAACATTGTTTTAAAAACTAGATTGGTGATTGATTCAAACATAAAATGTGAAACCAAAAAAGTTTTTTTTTTTACTTTTGAATATCTGATGTATGTGAAATAATGTTAAGATACTTACACCTACTTTTTTGGGGGTCAAATGTCACCACATGCTTAAGATTTTTTTTTTTTTAATTTATGGAATATGTTCAATTTGTCAACGGAAAAAGCCAAAAATAAATGTATGGAAGCTGTTTCTTTTTATATTTTTGATTTACAAATTAATTCAAATTAAATAATTAAAGTTTCGACATATATACAAACGGAAATCCGTGAGTCCAAACAGAGGCGCAAAGATGCGACCAGAATAATAGAGATAGTAATTAGCTGGCTTAGTCAAAAGTTTATTTTTGGTAAAAAACTGAATAGCTTTCCAAATTCTAATGTCAGAAATGGGTACACTAGATATTCAGATGATAAAGATTGATGATACATAAGTTAAAAATTCTAGATTTAGAATATGGAACTCCTTGGTCTACAAGAAAAAGAGAATGAAAAAAAGATTTGTGCATGTATAAATACATTTACCATGGTTTTTTACATGATCTAATCTCGTAATTTATAAATGGAAACATTTATGGAACGATTCTAGGATCTGTTCAATAAGAAAAAAAATCATATAATATTCTAATATTATACATCAAATTATTTTATTTTGAACATAAATAAATTACAAAGAGTTAATACGACAGTTAAAATACCCGTAGTTGTACTATTACATTCTTTCACAATCCCCATTTTTTTATTCAATATAAAAAAAAAAAAATACAGGACATGGGAATAAGAGAATCTTCAAATGGGAAGCACTATAACAAAATAATATAACAAGTTTCCCAAAACTGAATATTGTGTATGCTATTATTAGGCAAAAAGAAAAGGAAAAAAAATCAAAATAAATAAAAAAGGGAATAAATATATAAGTGAGTGTAACGATTCGCCGCGTGTGTACGGGCATCACAAAAAGATTCTTTGTTCCATTTAAAGATAATCTGATTGAATATTTTACATAAACGCCCTCGAGTCTCCACTTATTTACAGCGGCTACGATTCACCGCGTCCTTCTTCTTCTTCCCTATCCATTTTTTTTTGTTCTCATTTATCTTATTTTCTTCTTCTTCACCTTCTTCATTCTTCTATATATACATCTTGTAAGCTTCTTTGTCTTTATCTTGTCGGTTTTTCGATGGTGCAAACAGATACAGATCGTAGGATGGGGCTTAATTTGAATTTGTCTATTTACTCTTTACCAAAACCCTTATCTCAATTTCTCGATGAACTGTCGAGGATCAAAGACAATCATTTGAAACTGTCTGAAATCGATGGATATGTCGGTAAATTGGAGGAAGAGAGGAAAAAGATCGATGTTTTTAAAAGAGAGCTCCCTTTATGCATGCTCTTATTGAACGATGGTGCCTCTCTCTTCTCTCTTTCTCGATCCTCTCAATTTTGTTTTCATCGATTCGTGTTTTGATCTTTACGAAATGGTTCCTATGTGTAGCGATTGGGAAGTTGAAGGAAGAGGCTAGAAAAGGGTCATCAGTGATGGCATCAAATGGCTTCGATGCGGGTGAAGGGGCAAAACTGGAAACTGATAATAAGAAGAACTGGATGAGCTCTGCCCAGTTATGGATCTCGAACCCTAATTCCAAATTGCAATCGGTAATCCACTATATATAAAAAGATCAATCCTTTTTATGTTTTGTTTTGTGACTCTCCGATTGATCTTAACCTCTGATCATGTGGCAGACAAACGAAGAAGAAGATCGGTGTGTGACTCAGAACCCATTTCAGACCGGTAATTACCCTAATCAGGGAAGGGAATTTCTGCCTTTTAACGTTCCTCCACCACCTCCTCCTCCTCAAGCTACAGCTCCTCTGCCCCTCATGACACCAACATCACAAATGATGATGGACTGTAGCAGAATTGAGCAGAATCATCATCAATTGAACAAACCTTTACAGAGTCACCACATTCAGAAGAAAGAGCAGAGAAGGAGGTGGTCACAAGATCTTCACCGCAAATTCGTTGATGCTCTTCACAGGCTTGGAGGGTCACAAGGTTAGTCCTTATCCCAAAACAAAATAAAAGAACCAACTTTGCATCAAATTGATTGATTGTACTGAGATTGTGCTATGTTTGTTATGTTGTTGTTGTGAGACAGTGGCTACACCAAAGCAAATTAGGGATTTGATGCAAGTTGATGGTTTAACCAATGATGAAGTAAAGAGCCATTTACAAGTAAAAGTTCTGATCTTTTTTTAACCAATTAGAAGCTTCGAAAATTGATGTGTGGATGCATGATTTGAAAGTGTGTGAAATGAAAATGTATTGCAGAAATATAGAATGCATATCCGTAAGCATCCGCTGCATCCGGCAAAGACTTTATCACCCTCGGATCAACCCGTTTTGTTAGATAGAGAAACACAGAGCTTAATAAGTTTGTCGAGGTCGGATTCTCCTCAAAGCCCACTTGTTGAAAGAGGGTTGTTCAGTAATAATGTTGGCCATAGCTCAGAGGAAGCAGAGGAGGAAGATGAGGAGGAGAAATCTGATGGACGTAGCTGGAAAAGTGAATCAAAGGAGAAGAGACAAGTGTTGGATCTTGAGCTTTGAAGAAATATCATAATACTCTGCATAGTGATGATAAAATTACCAACTTATGTTATTATATGCTCGAAACTTCAAGTTTGTTCGGGAGTTTTTGTAGAAGTAAACATGAGAGGGAAATAAGGTGAGGATTTTGTGCAAAAAACTTAGGTTTTTTTGCAAGAGGAATTAGATAGAGAGAAAGATCAAAATCCTCAGGTTTGTGTTCTTTTTTTTTGTTTACTTCATAAAATTTTGTTTTGTTATTACAGTCTCTCAATCATGTGAATGAAAGAGTAATTTTTATTATATTACCGGGACTGTAATCTATATGGTTCTGTTTTTCCTTGCATACCAGAGGATGAAGAAAATCACACTATTGTCGTTGTAAGACGTCGTTTTCTTCAATCTACCTAATCTGGAAAAAAAAAAAAAAAACAAAAACCTTTTAGTGCATAAAATCGTACGAAAAGATAAGATTTTTTAGTTCTTTTTTTTGTTGCTAACATTTGTTACATTATATTTAAATGTGGCAAAAGATACATTTACAAACCCAAAATCCAAATAGAACAACCTAATTGAACCGAAGATGGAGCCCATTGAAGAAGCACAATCAGCCACAATTGTTTTGTAATAATTGCAAATGCACAGCATTTTGGTTGGTATGACTTGTTTGGCTTGGTATGGTTAAGATTTTGATTGTGGTTTGATGTGGTAAAAACACTATACCAATCGAATTATGTGGTTTAATATGGTCGATCCAGATTCTATTCCCAACCGGAGAATTTAAGAAAATCAACCATGTAGTTTTTTTTTCTCTGGTCTGGGCCTTGCTGGCCACATCTCCATCTTCACTAAATTTGTTCATTTCACAAACCCCTTCTGAACATAGGCTCGGCGAGATTTGAAGGGTTTAAGCAATCACCGGAGCTCTTACACCGTGAGATAAGAACTGACCTATTGTTAGCTTCTTTCAACTTTCCAGTCTAGAGAGACATGAGAGAAATCGTGACGATTCAAGTTGGAGAATTCGCTAACTTCGTTGGCTCTCACTTCTGGAATTTCCAGGTTAGAACCAAATGATCTTCCTCCTAGGTCGATTTTCGACTACCATTGGATAGATTCTGGCTTTCTTCTATCTCTAAATTTCATTACAAAAGTCTTGGTCTTTTTGCAAATTTTGATAAATTTATCGTTGGGTTTGCTAAAGTTACGGCCTTTTGCTTTGAGTGTAGGATGAATTGCTCGGATTGGCGAGTGACCCAGAAAGTGATCCAATCTTTCGAAACCATAATCTCGACATGGACGTTCTCTACCGCTCCGGTGAAACCCAACAGGTGAGATTGAGATTTCGTTGACTTTGATCAAATTGCTTTTGTAAATCTCAGAGTAGAACAACATTTGTGTGGTGGGAATTTTGCAGGGGGTTGCTACATACACTCCTCGTCTGGTTTCCGTCAACTTCAAAGGTAATTTTCTAGCTAGTTCTTTTAATTATAAGTCCTTTGGCAGAAGATTACCTTTGCTTACTTTAAAATTTTCCAGTGCTCACGAGTTAGAGATCGAGTTAAAATGAAGAACTTTAAGAGAGTCATCCGCTTGTATTCAACTAATATAGATTTTCATTTGGTCAGCTATTGAAGTCTGATGATAGAGTCTAACGAGTTAGAGATCGAGTTAAAATGAAGAACTTTAAGAGAGTCATCCGCTTGTATTCAACTAATATAGATTTTCATTTGGTCAGCTATTGAAGTCTGATGATAGAATCACTTAGACCTTGCAAGGTTCTGGATTTGATTATATAAATGTTGATATTTAAATTTTAGCATCTGCAACTTTTTCACCTTTCAGGGTCACTAGGCTCTATGAGCTCACGCGGTACCCTTTACAATGAAGGCTCTTCATCAAGATCAGATTCTTCGAAAACATGGTCAGTAATGCTAAATTTTTCTGAGCATGATGTTTAGGAAAATACAGTCTTGGCGATTAAGATCTTAGTGTTTATAAATTTGATTTCAGTGTAAAAGCTTGTTCAATCACTCAGGTGATGTGATAATCAGTTGAATATACCAATTTTGTGACATGTAGGTGTGGAGATGTTGACACTCAGAGATCTGAACCCCGAAAGAGGAACTTGTTTCTGCAAAGTTTGTATGAAGAAGAAGTTAAAGTGGGGAAAGAAAAGGCGACAGAGATTGAGGACAAAGATATTGTTGGATGCTTAGATGAGGGAGTTGAATGTTGGACTGACTTCTCCAAATCCCATTATCATCCTCAAAGTCTATACGAGCTGAGCGGATTATGGATGGACTCTCAGGATTTCAACAACTACGGAATTGGTAAAGACGTTTTCTATGAGGCTTCACGTGGAGAGGAAATATGCGACAGACTCCGTTTTTTCGTGGAAGAGTGTGATCATATTCAGGTTAAACCCAAACAGTGTTACTTTATCTGTTTACTTTCTAAACGTAGTATATTGACAAGGGATTGAAATTACGAAAATCACAGGGTATCAAGTTCCTTGTGGATGATTCGGGAGGATTTTCCGCTGTAGCAGCGGATTTCCTTGAGAACATCGCGGATGAGTACACAAATATTCCTGTATTGCTATATTCAGTGAGGAGTCCAATGTCGCAGATGAATCCTAGAAGCTCCAAAAAGACAGTTTCAAACAAGCTTCACGATGCAATATCGTTGCTCGACTCTCCATCCTTTTGTAAACTCTTCACTCAATAGGTTTACCATCCTGAGCGGAAGTAAGCAAAATCATCCAAACTTCATCAAAGCATAAATGTTTTGATTTTCTCTTACTGCAAACTGATGGTTTGATTTGTTTTGTTACTCTTGTGTGTTGGTTCTTTAAGGTAAAGCATCAAAATTTCTTAACCTCGGAGATGAGAAGCTTTATCGAAGCAGTGCAGTGTACGCCGCGGCTCTACATTCAAGCACAATCCCTTTCCGAATGCAACCAACAAGCTCAGATTCAAGTGAAGTGTCGAATTCTATGGATGTTAATACACTCGTGCAGCTATTAACGGGTCGTGGTAGACAAAACATGGTGACGATCTTGGACTCCGCAATGCCAGCTCCTACATTAGCAGGGAAGCAATTAGAGAATACCCTTTTAACGGATTTGCAGGCGCTAACACCGGAAGTATCTGAAGATGTAGAAGACAATCAAGCAATTGAGTCAATGTGTATACTTGGAGCCCTTAGTTCAGAAGATAAAGAAGCATCGGTTTCAGAAGTGAAGAATGCGGTCGATGCATCTTACGAACAGGCAATAACCAAAACCAAGCCGTTGTTTTGCACTCTATCAGTTTCACGTTGTCCTCTTCCGGTGCCTTTACCGTTTCCTTCTATATTTGGAAACCTTGTTGGGAGGAAAGGTGAGATCTTGAGCAGCCCGGTCTCGGATTCTCTGTACAGAGGCTCATTGGATGTTCACTCCATACCAGTAGCAGCAAGATGGAGATCGTCGAGCGCGATTTTGCCATTCTTGGAAAGGAGAATGGGGAATTTGGAGAAACTTGGGATCCAATGGGGAGCCATGGGATCAGATGTGGTGAGGACATGGGGATTTGGGAGAGAAGAATTGCAAGAAATGAGGGAGAATATGTCAAAGATGGTATCTGAGCTGAGTCCTCAGTTTTTGGAATCTTCAGATTCAGATTAGAGTTTTAAGTTCTGTCTTAAAATGAAACTGTTGTACCATCTCTGAGCTTGGGTAAGTTAAGGATCATTTTAAAAAAAAATTAAAGTTCTTGACGATTTTTTTTTTTTTTTATGGTTTTAGAATTTTTTTAAACAGTGATACCTACGTGAAAAAAAAGTATTTTTTTTTTTGAATGCCCATTGCATTGTAGTGTATTTGTCGAGACTAATGTTATGAATCCTAGACATTACTACAGACTCCTTAACTGGTAGACAAAAAATTATAATTTGGTTGATTGCATTGTATAATTATAAAACAAAGTGGTTGAGAGAAATTAACGCAATTGAGTTTTGAGTTGATGAAGGAAGCAATGTCGAACCGGATAACACCGATATGGAAAATTGGAAACCATATATATCAACATTTAGATTCAATGGTATTCTTCTGACCAATTTGAACCATTGCTACTTCCCAATTTTTCCCTTCATGCCTACTTCTTTTGTGCACTGTAGAGTTAGAAACAACTTCTATCGCCAGAACCATGGTGATGATGATGCCACTCTCTCTCTCTCTATCCATGGCTTAAGGGATCAGTTACCTGATGCACCTTACGAGACTCGGCGCTTGAGTATTGTCCTACGGCTCGGGCATAAGGAATTGACTTCTTCCCGCTAGCAAGCGCATTCACATTCTCAACCAGATACTGCCTCGGGAGCCTCCCGACCACATTACCTTCCTCGTTCCCTTCTCTATCGAGGAATGCGAAATGAGGAATACCCTCAACACCAAATTCATCCAACTCTTGCTCCCATTTCGTGTTGTCCACATTTAGCATCACAAAGTTAACTTTGTCCCTACGAATCACAACACCGCAAGTAAACTCCGACATTAACACACACACGAATTTTTTTAACATAGCATCTAAACTAACATGAGTCAATGGTTTGCTTCTGCAACTGAAATCTTCAAAGCTCTAGTTTGTTCATTATCATCTATCTACATAGCCAAACCCATTCCAAGACAAGTTCTTTAATTCATCAATCATCATTACAAGATTAGGTCTCTTCTGCAACTAGAATCTTCAAAGCTCTAACAAGTTTCCTAAACCACTATTAATGTGTACTTTTCTGCAACTAGAAAGCTCTATAGCTTGTTGTTGATCTATATACAGAGTCTCCATTTTTCAAGAGATTGTGATAAATGAAAAGGTTACTTGTATTGCTGCTCGATCTTGTAAACATCAGGAGCTAGTTCTCGACAAACCTCACACCAATCTGCATAGAATTCTACCACAGTCGGCTTTCCATTAGACAAAGCCTAAAACAATCCAATTCACAAAAACCATTAAGCAATCGTATGAAGTTACTCTACGAGATCAAAACGCAGATGAAGAATGAAAAAAAAAACACACCTCCTCGTAAGGCAACGCTGCAGCGGTTAAATCCTTCAAGGAAATCCCAAAATCGAGCCTCGTCGATAGAAACAACGCCAAAGCCGCGATTACAGATGTAGCCGCGACTCTTCTGTTGATATCTCTGTTGGGAGATTCAGGGAACCCAGAAGAAGAAGAAGAAGCTTGAGATGATTCCACTTCCTTAATTTCACCAGTGGAGCTATCATCTACCACCAATTTCTCCTGAATCAAGAAAAACGCTACACCTATTTTAGCAATTTCGCCTTCGACCCATCTAAAAAGAATCAAACTTTTCTTCACCTGAGTCTCGGAAGATTCTGGGTTTGCTTGGCAACGAAGAGCGCGAGATCGAGGAGCTCCTGTTTGGGTTAGGAGAAAAGTTTGATACTTTCGAGGACTGAGATTGAATCCATGACTAGATGAAAGGTTTAACGAAAACACTAAGCGAGCCATCGTCGGAAGATAATGAGATAAAATGCAGACGACAAAACTGTGTTATGAATTCATCAGATCGGTTACAGTCGTAACAATAGCTTCTTCGTCTGTTTAAGCTATACGAGCCACACATTTTTAGCGGAAAAAAATAAAAGTATCGTAATTTAAACAAATAATAAATTTTTGAATTCCCTTTTTTTTTTTTTTTTGGTATAATTTTCCGTCCATTTTATCCATCAAATTTTTTACTTTTATATAGGGGTCAAATCATTTTTGTTTACGGGTTTTCATGTTTTTGTTTGAAGAAAGGGTTTTACAGTAGAGAAAGCGAAACTCTCAAATTTCTTGTTTCTTCCCCTTGTTTCTTCTTCTTCTTCAATTCACCCAGAAATCTAACCCCCAAGTGTGAGGATGGTTGAGGAAGCAGCTTCAGCATCAGAGGTCGTGCAAACCTTAACGGAGCCTGTGACGGAGACAGTACAAACCCTAGAACCCAACCAAGCCTCAATCGAAGCCACCGTCGGATCAACTGTCCAAGGAGGCACTGAATCCACTTGCAACAACAACAACGCCGCCGAGAGTGCTGTAACTGATGTCCCCGACGAAGACCGTGAGAAGACGCTTGAGTTCGCCGATGAACTGACTGAGAAAGGATCTGTCTTTTTGAAGGAGAATGATTTCGCAGAAGCCGTAGATTCCTTCAGCCGTGCGCTTGAGATCAGGTCTCATTTCTCATTTCTCATCTCTTTATTGATGTGTATTGAGGATTCGGGTAATAGATTTGCAGTCGAAAATGTATTGTCAGTGCTTGCTAGGCTAATTAGATGTGGTAGAAACTCAATAAACCAAGAGTTAGAGTTTTAAATGTGTTTTCGATTCACATCCTAGGCTCAACAGTGTAGTTTTTGCTATTCATGGTATCTCAAAGGTACTTCTTTCAGAGCAAAATTTCTAATGAAACGCTGCTTGCTTTTTATGGTTAGGGTTGCACACTATGGCGAACTTGCTACTGAGTGTATAAACTCATACTATAAATATGGATCAGCTCTCCTGGAAAAGGCTCAGGCTGAAGCTGATCCACTTGGTAACATGGCCAAGAAAGAAGATGAAGTTCAGCAAGAGTCTATTAAGAGCACTACCAACGGTGAATCTGTCGCTGCATCTGTTGTTGCTCCTAGTAACACAGAGAGACAAGGCAGCTCAAGTGGGCAAGAAGGTATTGAAAATTGAGAAATGTCACCTGTATTGAATTTGAATATTTTGACAATGATTGCACCTCCGTTCCCCTTAAGCTTGTAGATTGAGATGAAATGTGTGCTTCTTAGTGTCACACATATACCCGTTGGTTGATGAAGTCATTTTTCTTACTCAAACTTGTGTAATAAAGTATTGTGGTTGTAAATTTTTCTGAGCATTGCTGTTTCTTTTCGTTTTAGGTTCTGGTGGTAAAGACTTAGAACAGGATGGTGAAGATTGTCAGGATGATGACCTATCTGATGGTGATGAAGATGAGTCTGATTTGGATATGGCCTGGAAAATGCTGGACATCGCTAGGGCTATCACTGACAAACAGTCTACTGAGACAATGGAAAAAGTTGATATACTCTGTGCCCTTGCTGAAGTTTCCTTGGAGAGAGGTAATTTCTTTCTTATTTCACCCTCGTAATGTCATTTAAGTTTCTCAGTTACGATTGGTTGATTTTGGTTTGTGGTATTTACAATGCAGAGGACATTGAGTCTTCCCTGATTGACTACAAGAAAGCATTGTCTATCTTAGAGCGACTGGTTGAACCCGACAGTCGACACATAGCCGAGCTGTATCCTTTGATTTCTTAGACTATATATTATTTCTCTGCATTGTGTTGTTGGATTATACAACCTTAACTTGAATGTTTCAGAAACTTCCGCATATGCATCTGTCTAGAGACTGGATGTCAGCCTCAGGAAGCAATACCATATTGTCAAAAGGCTGTGTTAATCTGCAAAGCACGGATGGAGAGGCTCACAAATGAGATCAAGGGTCCATCTGGATCAGCAACTTCCTCAAATGTCTCTGAAATAGACGAAGGAATCCAACAATCGTCTAATGTTCCCTACATTGACAAATCTGCTTCAGACAAAGAAGCTGAGATCAGAGTCTTATCTGGACTCGCAGAAGACCTAGACAAGAAGGTAAGTAAAAGTAAACCCATACAACTTATTAGAACAACTCTATAAACCCATACTAATGTCCAACATTTGTTGTCTGCAGCTTGAGGATTTGAAACAACAAGCAGAGAACCCAAAGCAACTCCTTGCCGAGCTAATGGGAATGGCATCAGCTAAGGCAAATGCTAATGACAAGGTTGCTGGTGCTGTTGGCGAAATGAGCTCTTCTCGGATGGCTATGAATACTGGGAAAGACTTAGAGTCGCCTACGGTCTCAACCGCTCACACCAGTGCAGGAGGAGGAGCATCATCAGGTGTTACTCATTTGGGCGTTGTTGGAAGAGGAGTGAAGCGAGTTTTGACTAATGCAACCTCTGCGGAATCAAGTCCATCAAAGAAACTAGCTCCCGAGTCTTCAGACAAAGCAGATGGCAACTCTTCTTGAGGTGAAAAATGGCAAAGAGCTCTCCTTTACTACTGAGTTTTAACAGAAACATTTGGTACCCTTGTCATGAATCTTAGGTTTTCGCTGTCCTTTTATTGTAATTGAGTCCGTACTTTAAAAATTTTAATCGTTGAGAGCTTGTCGTATTCTTGCTTAGTATTCCTGTTAATCAGTCTTATTTAAATGTGCTTTTCAGATTTAGTTTCGAAATCTGAAAGTTATGTGCTCAGAGCATCTCCAAAAACAACCTTAAATCTTCAAATATGAGGTTTCATAACCTTATATTTAAAGTTTCACTGTTTAAAACCTCAAATTTGAGGTTTGCAGTTTTTATTTACATTTTAGTTCTTATAATTATATATTTCATAAATAATTATTTTATTTTTTTATGTTTATCATTTTAATTCAAACAATTCTGTTTATGTAAATTTATCTTATAATGTAATTTTTAATTTTATTATAAAGTTTATAATGTAATTTTAGTAAATAATATTTTTAATATATATTTTTTGTTATTTATAAAGTTCTATGATTTTTATTAATAATAATTAAAAATAAGAACTATAATGTAATATTTTAAATTTTGTAATAGAAGATTTGAAATTTTGCTTTCGGAGACAAACACCGTCAAACCTTAAATTTGAAGTTTGGCCAACCTAATTTAAAGTTCTTTTTAAGATGCCCTCAAGAATGCATATCAGTGGATTAGTTCTTGATTTTTTTTTTCAATGTATTAATAATTTTATAATAATCTAAGGGATAAGAAGATAGCCAATCTTGATAATTTGGGTTACTTGTAGAATTAAAAACTTGTAGAATTTAATATATGATGAGTAGAGAGATCTTCGCTTTGTATTTGGAGATATGATGATGAGCTGTAGATGAAAACGACACCGTCGATGGGCACCAGCGAAGCCTACGTGGCGAGCAGCTCTAGAGATATCCGAAACTCCAAACAGTTGTCACCAATGAAATGTAACTAAATAAACATATAAAATACTCTATGATTTAGCATCATTATATTATATCATTTTAATTAACACAGAAATCACTTCGTCTTCTTTTTTAATTCCTGTCTGAAATTTTCAAAGAATCGCTGTGAGGTGTTTTGTGATTAGTTATAAATACTCCATTATTGTTATAACTGTTTCGTGATTATATCTATTAATACTCTGCTATATATTGTTATATAACTTATATAACTCGAATTGTATCGTGTGAGAGAGTTTACATTACACAAATAGAAATAACATTCAAAATGGGAAGAGTTGAGTATTTGGCCATGAAGACTGAGGAGGAAATGACGGGAAATCTGATCACTGCCGATCTGAATGAGTTTGTCGCCGCCGCGAAGAAGCTCGTGAAAGACGCAGCGATGCTTGGTGGCTTAGGCTTTGGCACGTCTTTCCTCCAATGGGCCGCTTCAATATCCGCCATGTGAGTCAAAAAAAACACTCTTTGTTTTTTGTTTTTTTGTTTTTTTGGGATCATTGTAATGATTTTGTTATTGTTTGTTTTGACAGTTATCTGTTGATACTGGATCGTACCAATTGGAGAACCAAAATGTTGACTACCCTTTTGGTGCCATACATCTTTTTCACACTTCCGTTCGTTATCTTCAACTTCTTGAGGTAATCAAGAACAAGTAAAATCTTTCAAATAATGTTATGGCCTTCTTGTAAGAATGTAACATGACCAAGTCAATGTTCGATTCAATTTTCACAGGGGAGATTTTGGGAAATGGATTGCTCTCATCGCGGTCACAATAAGGCTTTTCTGCCCTAAACACTTTCCAGGTATCGTCAGAACCCACACTTTTATATCATTTGACATTAGTTTGAATTCCAACCTAGAAATCACTAAATTTTTATCTTAAAACTCTCTTTTTCCCATTTTTTTTAATCAAATGAAACATGTAGATTGGTTGGAGATTCCGGGAGCATTGGTACTTCTTCTAGTGGTTGCACCTAGCCTCATAGCTGGGACACTAAGAGAAAGTTGGGTTGGTGCAGTAATATGTCTTGTAATAGCATGTTACCTTTTCCATGAACACATTAAAGCTTCTGGTGGATTCAAAAACTCTTTTACTCAGAAGAATGGAATCTCCAACACCATCGGGATCGTTGCCCTCCTCGTTTACCCGGTTTGGACCATCTTTTTCAACATCTTTTAAGCATAGGCCTCTAGGCACATTCAACATTTTTGTGCCTTGCTTTCATTTTTAAAGTGTGGATTGCAGCATGTGTTTCAAGATATCTTGAATAAACAACAAAAGAAATTTCAAGTGTGACTTGTAAGATATATTGGATTGTATATTTCCTTGTGTGTTGAATGAACTCTTCAACATTTTAGACTACACTATTTATTGGTTGTGACTTTTAGCTTTTAGATATGAAGGTTTGTTTTTTTTGCTGTACTAATGAAGACCAAAACACCGAGAGCCCATGCATATATGATATAGCACACATATTACTTAAAATAAACTAATTGTTCAAATCTGGCTGTGACCAAAATTTAACACAGCGTAACAACTTACACGGATTATGCTGCCTAATAGAAACTTTTTTTTGGTAAAAACTAATGATTCAATGATAATTAACTAATGAGTCAATGATAATTTTGATTGGCGCATTTGAATATGTGATATTGTGAAAAGACTTTTTGTTGGATGTTTTGACTTCAGATAAATAAAGCATGTTACCCAAAAATAAATGAAAAAATAAATAAATAAACTAACCACAATCCACAGCCTTGGCACTAAAACTACGTGCCGTTTGTCGTATCCAACAGTGTAATGCCTGACGTTGTAATAGCGCGCAGTCTTCTACTAGACTACTACAATCAATTAAGATGCCGAATCTTTGATGACCAACGATCACCAGCCACGTGGCATAAGACAGAACCTGATAATCCCCATTGAAACCTCAATGTCACAAAAGAGACGCATCAGAGAGCTTTTTGTCTTCACAGCGAAGGAACTTTGCGGCGGACGATGGTCGCTTCCTTACAAGCCGCCGTTACCACCGTGGCTCTTCCGTCTCGCGCCGCCGCAAATCTCCGGCCTCCTTTTCAGTGTGTCTCTAAATCCTTCGGCGTCGAGCAGGTGACGAGCCGTGTCTACTGCTCCCTCCACGACGATCTTAAGAGCTTGGCTCTGAAATGCGTTGAGACTACCAAGATCGCCGGTCTTGCACTCGCCACCTCTGCTCTTGTCGTCTCGGTACGGTTTCTTGCTGCTCGAGAAGTTACAATCTTAGATACCAAAGGACTCAACCTTTTTACATGATCGCTAACTTAGAGTTGTTAAAGAAACTAAACAATATGCAGAGAACTTATGGAACATAACAAACTTAGCCGAAAATTTGGGTATCTCAGTGTTCAATAAATTACAGTGATTGATGCTAAAGAGTAAAGTCTCAACCTTTGAACAATATTGAGAGGAATTGATGAACGTGAACATATTGGAATTATAAAATTGAGATTTCTTCCACTTCAGAAATTTATATCTTCGAAAGCTAAAAGATTCAATCTTTAAAGTGTGATTCCTATGATCAGATTCTTAAACGATCTTGATTCTTAAAGTAGGGTTTAAGAATCTGATCATTTCATAGAGACCAAAGATATTGAAATTCTGTAACATATGTTTTTCTTTGTTTTTGTGTGGATAAGGGGGCAAATGCGGAAGGAGTGCCAAAGAGGCTAACTTTCGACGAGATACAGAGCAAGACTTACATGGAAGTGAAAGGAACAGGAACCGCGAATCAATGTCCGACCATTGAAGGTGGATTGGATTCATTCGCCATAAAGCCAGGCAAATACTACGCCAAGAAATTCTGCTTAGAGCCAACTTCATTCACAGTCAAAGCAGAAGGAGTTAGCAAGAACTCCACGCCTGATTTCCAAAACACAAAGCTCATGACCCGTCTTACCTACACGCTCGACGAAATCGAAGGCCCTTTTGAAGTAACTCTTTTTGCTGCTCAAACCTTCCAAACATTCGAATCATCAATCCATACAAAATCTCAACTTTGGTATTGGTTCAATAGGTAGCATCCGATGGAAAGGTGAAGTTTATAGAGAAAGACGGCATCGATTACGCTGCAGTGACAGTGCAACTTCCAGGTGGTGAGCGTGTACCGTTCTTGTTTACTATCAAGCAGCTCGTGGCCTCGGGTAAACCAGAGAGCTTTGGTGGAGATTTCTTGGTGCCATCTTATAGAGGCTCATCTTTCTTGGATCCAAAAGGCCGTGGTGGCTCTACTGGATATGATAATGCAGTTGCATTACCTGCTAGAGGAGACGATGAAGAGTTAGCTAAGGAGAACAACAAGAACACTGCTGCTTCAGTTGGTAAGATAACACTTAGTGTAACGAAGAGTAATCCCGAGAGCGGTGAAGTGATCGGTGTCTTCCAGAGCATTCAGCCTTCGGATACTGATTTGGGTGCTAAGACTCCTAAGGATGTTAAGATCCAAGGAATATGGTATGCCCAACTTGAATAATAATACATAGGAGAATCTGTTTTTTTTTTTTTTTCTGTCTGTAAATGTTATGATTACCCAAAAGAGTATTTGATTCCAGATCATAGTACATGTGGAACTCCATTTGGTGACACTTTTTTGGTTTAGCTGTTAACACTTTTGGCTTTAATCACAAGCTAATTATTGTGATAAAAAGACTAATTATTAGGGATTAAGATATCATATTTCTAGATCTTGATAATTGCTTTTAACAGCAGGATGATATCTGGTTAAGAAATAAGAACAAGAAAACCAAGCCTTATGAAAAACAGAGGACCTTCGTTCTGTTTCTTAGCTTTGTCTTCCTTTCTCCATCAAAGTTCAAATCTTTTAGAGAACCCAAAAAAATGGAAGATCGAAGCATGTAAAAATGACGAGGAAGAGAAGCGATAACAAAGGCTTTGTTCATGGAGGTGGTTAGAACGGCGTCGCTTGGAACTAGCTCAAGCTTTGTTCTTCGTCTCGGACAGACTCTGTTCTCTTCTGCTTCACTTCTGTTCATGTGCTTTAACGATGATGACGATTTCTACGCTTACACTGCCTTCTGGTAATTTTTTTAAAAAATATTTCATTTAAATCTATAAAACAAGTTTCGAAGAGACTTATGACTGTTGTGGAGCAGTTATTTAGTTACAGTGATGGGTTTAGTGACACCATGGAGCGTGACGTTAGCCCTAATTGAAGCTTATTCCGTTATCGTTAAAAGCCTTCCTCTACAAGCAACAGTTTTGTCTGTCATCGTCTCTGGAGATATTGTAAGTTATCAATGTGCTTTTAAAAACAATTGGTTCATTTGATTAGAAAGCGTGTTTTCAGTTGAACCAATTGTTTAGAAAAGGTGTTACCAAATAAATCAACTGTGGCTAGTAATAGACATGTGGATATGGATTAGATTTTGATTGGTTCCTATCAGAATACAATTCAAGAACCATTGAAATTGTAATACATTCCACAACTTTATATTAGCTTTTATGCAATAACTTCTCCCACTATAATATCTGTGGTGGACCATATGAGAAGGATGGATATCCGAATCACATTAGGCTCATTAGCCATTAAAAGGATAAGGCTTTAATTTAGACACCAACCTAGTTATCTAATAATGGTATCCACTGTAAAGAATTGTTTCGGTGTTCTAAACTTCGGATCAACTATTCTTTATCAATGTTAGCAAAAACTGTTTTGTTTTCTTGTTTAACTTAGACTACTTTCTTTCTTTTTTGGTAATTGAGTTTGTGGTGGAATCTCAAAGCAACAATAGTAAGTGTAGATGTTGTAGTAGGCCAAACTTTTCAGGAGGGCGGTCCAGACATGTTTTGGACCGGCCAAGTTCTGATTTTAAGATTTTGAAAATTCAAATTATACTATGAACTGGTCCATATAGAATCATTTCTATCAAGATTAGATCAGAATATTTTGGATATTTTTTTGCAAAAAACACGAGATCATGTAGAAATTATCATCATTTATATTGAACTAGCTCATGTAAAACGAGTAATACCAAAGCTACAGATAAAGCTGATCCAACACTTCAAAGCATCTTACATAGAACATAGTCATCATGTGAACATATATATTGCAATTATCAATGGAATATCGATCACTTGCCTTTCTTTATCAAGATTGTGAAATCACTAGAATACATCAACTTGTAGTACATCTATGTTGTTATTGTTGGTTAGTGGTCGACTCTTTAGATATGATGGCTCTTCGAAGGAGCTTCAATGTAGCTTTTATTTACATATTAAAATTACATTAACATAAACACACACACACATACACAAAAGCAAGAGTCTAAATTAAATTGTACAAAGAAAACTTTGTTTATCGAAATAACACAATTGCTATTTAGAACTAGTTTGAACTATCCTATCATTTAGCAAATGATAAAGAGCAAAAAGGGTTAATTTGCTAATTATAATCTTTTTAAATATTTGGGTTTATTCAGCTTTTGTCGTTTCTATCGCTGGGAGGTGCATGCTCGACGGCGAGCGTGGCCATACTTTTGATCGGCGCTGGAGAGAAGCATTGTGATCGGTATAAGTTATCGGCAACAATGGCGTTCTTGTCTTCCTTTCTTTCCTTTGCTTCCACTTTCTTTAACTTTCGTCTTCTTCCTTCTCTAATTTCTCGTTAAGTCATATGTATATATTTCCTTTCACCAGTTTATATTTTTATACTTTCCTTTTATATTTTGGTGAATAATGATAATTTTGTATTTGTTGTAGGAAAAGAAAAAAAAAATTAATCGAATTATGTCTCAAGTCTCAACGCATAAATTATGGGCAGGGTAACTAAAATATCTGGGATTTCATCCATTGCGATCAGCTCTGGAAATTAAGAAATCATGTACCCATCAAAATTGAACCATGCATGATATATCTTGATTTCAAAATCCAGAATACAGATCCATGTATATTCAGACAAATTCAGGATGGCAATTATTTTTAAAAACAAATATTTTCGAGTGCTGTCATTTATATAATTTTTCAATTTTTCTCATTTATTTTATTTTTTGGTCGAACCTCATTTATAATATTTATTTTTAGATATTTGTTTGATTTTTTTTTAGTTCTCCCTTATGAATTTTAATGCACATTCGTATTCTAGATATCCGAAAATCGCATCAATTTAAAAGCTGTACTTCGGATCCACTTATCGTTAGGTTCTATAATATCACACTCGCCCTATATAACCCAGTTTTTGAAACTTTTTTTTCAGGAAAAAAAACATAGGTCTAGTTACGACGACTTTTTTATACGATATCTTAAAACTCTATATTCCGAATTTGTTGAAATAGCAAATGTCATATCGGATGTCCCATTAGAACACTGTTATTTATAGACAACTTTTGTAACCTTTTAACTGTAACATTTTGACCTTTTTATAGCACATAGTTGGTAAGGCTTGTTGCAGCATTGCACATGGTCACTCATGGCCCATGGCCATCAGTTTATACAAAACTTTCTCAACTAAATTTTACTCCAAATTTACTAATCAAGGACTCAATCTATATCGATATCTGTTCTCATAATTTATAAGACAACAAACAAAAAGACTATGATCGATGTAATAAAGGTAAAAAAAACGTAATATTCAAACTAGTCACTGTAAATTTAGTTATATAATTGTATCAAAGAATTAATTCATTTGAAAGATGCGTGGCCCCATGCATGATAAGTGATATGGTATCGATCGTATTTATCAAAAACACATAGATGATCGATAATTTAAGACGACACGTATAAGTTAGAGGAATTAACTACTTGATTCTACATTACATTTTCTTCATTAATCAGAATTTCACGTTAAACCCAAAAATCATTATCAAGTAACAACAGTTTTTCGATAAGTATTTATTAGATTAAACTGGCCATGATGTCAAATAAGTATATCTTTCACATATAATAATAGATGAGAGGCATGAAGATCTACACTATATCCTAATTCCCAAGAGTTTGATCCCAAATCTCATTTGGTCTGCAAATATCTGGATTTAAATAAGTATTTATCTGTATTAATTACATACATACAGATGAATCCAATTAATTAGTTTTGTGATAATAATTTTTTATTTCATTTGCTTATAGATGAGAACTGAGTTACGGATATTAAATGTTCGTATTTATTAATTAAAGGCACCGGCTTGTTCAAGTACATGCACATACAGATTCATGTGCTCCGTACGTAAGTCCCTATAGATTTCTTAGATACCGAAATCAAAACATAAACAAAAATTTATATGTTGTTTTAAGTTTAAATCATATAGAATCATTTGAACAAAAACAAAAGTAACTTTTATTGAGATTAAAAAATAAAATAAAAAGTGTGAAGTCCCAACTCAAAATTCTGTACATTTCTTTCAACCAAATACAATAATTTCAAAATCTCTTCCAAACAACATTCGAATTCAGAGAAGCAAGATTTTCTACTTTTTTGGAGATTCCACCTGACCGTAAGTTTATTTTCATACATAGAATAATTCAGTTGATTTTTATGACATTCAAAATTGTTTTGTTCACTCAACAAATTTAAAATCATTTCTCTTATATAAGCTTCCGTTTTTTTACTAATTAATTAATATGTTAAATAAATTTTAGTTCAGACAAACAAAAAAAAAAGTTTTAGTTATGCATAATACTAATTTCAGTTATCTGTCATATGTTGATATAATCATGTTTTCATCATATTATATCGTTGCCATTAAACCCGTTCTCATAGCAAAATCTTGTACACACACAAAACCATATATAGAAATCTTGTAAACAACTATTCAAATTAATTAACATCAAAACAAAAAAAAAAGCTATTCAAATTTACTTTTTGTATCAAGATTATTAATATAGAATGTTCTGCAAAATCGAGACCAAAACAATAATAGTTGATACTTTTATATACGACCCATAATTAGGAAGAAATCTTAAGCGATCAGAACTAATTGAAGATAAAGGGACCTACGACAACCTTGCATGATGATGAAACTTTTGATTCTAAGTTTCTATGAAAGTTATAAGATGGGAAGTTTCATCGTAATGACGAGTTTGAGTTTTTTTCAATGAATCTAAAGAGCAAAACAAAAATTATTGGACAAAAAGAAGGAGCCCCACTATTGTATACAAAAACATATCAATAATACAAAACCCCCAAAAAAAAAACAATAGATTCCATATAGTATGAATCATATCTTCTACCTAAAGATATATAAAAAATAAATAAAATTTGAGCATATGGATATTATCCCCAAGTACTCCATTCCATGTCGTTTGTCGCTTGATGTTTTTGCTTGTTCCGTCTTTTGAATCAAATGGAGGAACTTTTTCTGTTTAAGAATTAAATTAATATTTAGAGAAAAGCAACCACACCTCAGTGACATTTTTTAATAAAGTGATTTTTAGCTAAATCGTTACATTTTTTAATCAGTTAGTTGTAGGAAAATGTTTCTCCCGTTAAACATGAATACAAATTTTCGTAAGACGATCGAGGTCATTTATTTATTTTTTGTGAAAAAGAGAAGATCACCTTCTATCATAAATTATACTAATCTACCATTTTTTTTATAATACTTAAATTAAATAACACCAATATTATGTTATAAAATGCAATGGATCATACTTATTATAGTTCTAATGGCTATATATGTTTTTTTTTTAAAAATGGCTATATATGTTAGGATCCCCGAAAATTTCCTCTCCTAACTAAGGTTTCCGAAATTTCTTGTTGGACATTATTTTTTTATTTTTCTTTTTATTTGCGAACATAAGGTTTTTCTTTTTTACCAGTAACAGCGATTCAGCGAACATAAGTTTGGTCATGATGTTTCTACTGATGACGAAAATATATAACTTGACATTAGATATTTACGTCGTATTTTGTCGGTATAACTGCATATTCCAGTATAACTCCCAGCTGTATCAAATATTGAGTCAGACTAATTAATCTTGTTTGTGTACCGTGTACGTGAGAAGATGAAAATGTTGTTAAGAGTCTTCGGCTAATCATGTTTCTCTGTATACACGTGTGTGACCTGTAGATTTTGAGTTGGATAATTAGAAGTCAAATGTTTATATATTGTTTTACTTTATAAATTATACAAGTAGATATATAAACACATGCAGGGACGCGCCATGAGTGTTACCCAATTTTGACTATTTCCTTAAGATTAATTATTCTGATGTGAATACAAATTGGAGAAATAATTTGTAATATCTTCACAAATACAACCAAAAGATGCACATATTCAAACGGGAGCTTTCAATAAAGCATTCTCTTCTTGTTGAGTCAAAGAGGTAATGATTGGTTCAATCTTCTCGTTTGTGGGGTGAGACCGCGAGAGGGAGCATCCATGAAGCTTCATATATACAAAAGCATGGAGCAATGGAGCATGTGACGTTTTCTTTCTTCTTCTACATGTACAACAAACCTTTCCAATAATAATGATAACTATTATTAATTTTTGCGACCCATTTTTAATTTAGATTTACAAAAAGTAATGAATAAAACAATCACAGTACGTAATTACGACTCAAGTATCAATTATAGAGAACAAAGACATTATTGTTTACAGCAAAATTAAAACACAGATTATGGGTGTATTACGACTAACAAGCATTACTTCGACAGTCCAGCTAAAACAATCGCTAAATATTGTAACATATTCTTAAAAAACTGGTACACTCTATATTTTAAACTCATCTTTTACGATCTGTCCGTCTGTCTTAATTATCTTGAGAAGTAGGGGTTACAACCAACTGTGTGTCTGTGTGATAGGCTAGTTAATTATGTTGCATGGTTTTTATAAAGCAAGTTCGACTCGTTTTTTATTAAAAATATTAGGTGTTTTCAATTCAGTGTCGATTGAGGCTTAATTGAACATCCATTGAGCGAAATTTTCTCTGTCAAATTGGCTTATTCTTAGAATTAGTCCGACGGTTTTATTATAGTTAAACCATATAATAGTCATTGGCTTCCAGCCGATACGAACCCCATCGATCATCCAAGATTAAAAGAAGAAATATGTGCTTATTTAAAAAAAAAATGTGCTTCATTTTCACATAATAATAGAAGGTTGTAATCAGATATAAGTAAAAGATGTAACTATATAAAATGGAAAACTACTACTCTACTAGCATAAGAAAGGGTAGTGTCAATAAATTACTATATAGCATAAGGTGGGGTGTTTTACGACAAAACTGCTTCAACTTGTCTTTTAACACAATTAATTGTTGACAAAAAAACACGAATTAATTGAGCATAATGTCTATAGTTTACATCAACTAATTAAGAGAGTTTAGGTGACCGATTTCAGCCTGTAACGGTCGATTAATAGTCCCTAATCAATTTGCATTAATTATAATTACTAAATTTAGAGCGGTTATTTGACCAAAACACTACTTCCTCCGTTTCATAATAAGGGTCATTCTGACATATTTCACACATATTAAGAAATTAATAAAATATACAAATATACTCTTAATTAATATGTTTTTATAACATTTAATTACAAAAACTATTATTTTTAAATGAGGGATAAAACAGGAAACTTTTTGAAACATTAAATGAAATCTAAAACAACACTTATTATGAAACGGATGGAGTATAAAAATAAATAGTACTCGTATTAGCTAAACACCCCTTGATTTCTGGTTGGCATCGTGGTGATAGTTGACAATTGACCCTCATCCAAATTCCAGTTAACAACCAAAATATTTTGAATACGTAGAATTCTGAACCAATACATTTTTTACCAGGAAAAAAAGCTGAACCATACATTCGATTATACATAAATTTATTTTAATTTCTTGATATAAAAAATCATATCCGAAGAAGCGAGAACAAATAAAGAGCGATGTCAACAGGCAACAAGGGATTTAACGAGTTTACGGCAACTCCAATATTGTCGGACTTTTTGTGGGACCCTTACGCCGGTACGTGGCATCTCATGGCTCAAAAATACGACACGTGGCCGTAATATTTTTAGGCCACGTCTTTCCCCTGCCACTTTCTTCTCTGCTATTCCTACACTCCCTCGTTACTACGTTCCGTGGACTCTCAGCGATAAGGCCACGTCTCTTGTTAACATCTTTGTAATTGAGGGCTAAGTTTAACCTTAACCTAGGCAGTGGCTACTGGCTACCCAAAAAAGGGCATGACTTAATCAGCTTAAAAGATCCAAATCGTTATTTTACGAGTTTTACTGAATTGTGGATTCCAAGAGATATTAATAAAACCGAGATCTAAGATGGCGAATATTACTAGTACTTATTCCCAAAATTCATGTCAAAAATTTACACAACTTTTTTATAAAAGATTATATCACAACTTGTTAACACGGAACTCACACATTAATTAAGAGTTTGTGCCGCTTTCCCCTTTTGTATAACTCGCTTAATAAATTCGTAAGCTATTCTCTGATCAAATTTAAACCGATCACTGACACCTATCAACAAAATCAAATCATTTTAATTGAGTTTAGGGCAAAGATAGAGTGATGTTACTTGAGTATATTTTTTCTATAGGAGTATATATGTTACTTTCCTTTTTCTCCGGACTTCACTTTTGATTGGATAAATCAGTAAATGCCTCTATATTAAATAGAAGGGTAAAGTAGTAGTCCTTACGCACCTTGGTAAACCAAAACCGCAACAAGTCTGCTTGCAAGTAAAACCATGGTCGCGTATTAGAAGTCTACCTTTTGGATGTTTTTTTTTTTTTTTTAAACTTATCTTTTATTTCTTCTTCGGTACTTTTCAAATGAGACATTGTTTGTGAGCGGCAGAGGCAAAAACATGCTCTAACAGATGAGCTCTGGCATTAAAACATACTTTTTGGATGCTCAATATTGTTGAAATCAACATTGTAAATTTGTAAGAAAGCTCTGGCTTCTTTCTATGAGTCGGATTGGTAGATTCCTTTTAATTATTATGGTTATAACAAACCGTTTGCTTGTCTACTAAGCAAACAAATAGTTGAAATTCTTATGACTAATATGAGCCATTCACAATCCACCCGAAAAGTAGCTGTGCAGCATATTTTACTGTTTTTAGCTCTGAAATTTTATTTTTATTATAAATTAAGAGAACAACTACACGAACAACTATAAATTATCATATAATTAGAGAAAAAATATTTATTACCAAAGTTTATCAATTATAAGTCATTACTGAAATTTGATATCTGAAAAATATAAATTGAACGGCATTGTTTTCTACTGAATATATAAAGCAACGGTAATACTTTCTTTTCATTCCGCTTCATTAACTACTTTGTTTAAAAACAAACCACCAATAAAATCATAAATGAAGCGTAAATATCGAAATAGTTAATGAAGATTAATTATTAGTAGAAATGTAGATATAAAACTGAATAAGACAGAAATACACTATACAAAATTAAAAACACATGTTACATATCTAGATGAATTTAAATTACATCAAAGGATCCGACAGCCTCTGGGGCAATCAAAATCATAGATTTAAAAGTGACAAGAAAGTTCATAATTATTCATATACAAAAAGGGATTCGATATATATATATATATATAAATTTGTAACCTATTCATAAAGGGCAGCAATAAAAATGGACCCTATTGTGATTTGAAGTTGTTTTATATCAGAGATATAATAATCTTAAGATCTTTCAACTTAAATTCGGAAACCCACCGTGCTACCCCACGAGCATTATATCAATTCAGTAAATTGATAATTTATCTGTTCACTATACACTCGTAATGGTCTCAAAACATGTGTATTCATATTCATAATAAACTCATGAAAGATGAAACAAGCTATCACACGCATGAAAATATATAATAAGTTACCACGAGATATTTTACTTCTTACGATTTCTTGCAATTGTCGTAAACCCGTATAACTCTACAAGCGTGGGTGAGTTTCATGTTTTTTTTTTTGACAAAATTTTCATGTCTTTTGATGTATAGGTTTTATTTTCTCTGAACAACCACTATGTTTATTTGTAAGTTATGTATATACTGGTCTTGCAAATCAACTTAAAAACATGTGTATTCATATTCATAATAAACTCATGAAAGATGAAACAAGCTATCACACGCATGAAAATATATAATAAGTTACCACGAGATATTTTACTTCTTACGATTTCTTGCAATTGTCGTAAACCCGTATAACTCTACAAGCGTGGGTGAGTTTCATGTTTTTTTTTTTGACAAAATTTTCATGTCTTTTGATGTATAGGTTTTATTTTCTCTGAACAACCACTATGTTTATTTGTAAGTTATGTATATACTGGTCTTGCAAATCAACTTAAAAACCATTCACAATGTGTCACACATTCTTAAAAATTTCATAGATTTAACTATAAACACACAGTTAAACAAGAAACCTTAAAAACAAAATTCTTTAAGGAGTATTAGTTTAAAAGTATTTAGAAATCATTTAGATCATAGTGAAGTGTAGGTGGTACTCTACAAAATCTTAAGAATAAATGCTACAATATCCCATATATATACGCGCGAAAACAGTTCCATTTAAGTTTGAAACGTAAACGAAGAAGAGAGAAATGATACTAGAAGAAGAGAGATGTCATAATAATTAAGGTCAGTACCTGACATAGTAATTATAGCTAATAATAATAAAGGAGTAAAAAAAATATCTAAACACACACAAAGCTGTCATCCTCTCCCCCACCACTTATACAGCCTGTCATCACTCTCCTTCTCCTATTGGTCTACAAAACGACAAAATCCTACGTGGCATACAACTTTTTTGTAAACACAACACAACACAAAAGTCACAAACTCTCTCTATTTATACACAAAATCTTTCCTTTCTCTTCCGCATTCCTTGTTTCCACTCTCAATAACCCCTTCCACTCTCACCGGAAACCGAGTCACGACTCACGGAGTCAACTCAGCGAGTTACCAAGAAATCATCATTAACAGTACTGAATAATATTTTGACAATACATAGAAATAAATGGGTATATGCAGTTCGAGCGAGTCGACTCAAGTGGCGACGGCGAAGCTGATCTTGCAAGATGGGAGGATGATGGAGTTTACGAAACCCGTCAAAGTCGGATACGTTTTGCTCAAGAACCCGATGTGTTTCATCTGTAACTCAGACGATATGGACTTCGACGACGCCGTCTCCGCCATTAGCGCCGACGAAGAGCTTCAGCTCGGTCAGATATACTTCGCTCTTCCTCTTTCTTGGCTTCGTCAGCCTCTTAAAGCGGAGGAGATGGCTGCATTGGCCGTCAAAGCTAGCTCTGCGCTCATGCGAAGCGGTGGTAGTTGTCGCCGGAAATGCGTAAATCCTATTGTCGTAGCTGATAAGTATCATCTTAGAGTTGGCTCCGGTGATGCTACGGTGGGTTCCGGCGGAGGAAGGAGGAAAGGGAGAAACGGTGACGGTGGTGGTAGTAGTAGTAGCCGGAGGAGGAAATGCTACGCGGCGGAGTTGAGTACGATAGAAGAGTGAAGGGTAGTTTTGGAATTTGTTGATAGTTGTAATTATGTTGGGGGCATTTTAGTCATTTTAAGAAGAAGCAATTTGCAAATTCGCAATGTTCGGAAAGTTCTCTTTTGGGAATTTAGTAGTAGTTAGTGCTACTTACTAGCATTTCTCATTGATTTGTCGAGTAGTTATAGTAAATTTTATTCTTGCAGTTTTTTCTTCTTCCCATGAAGACTTAAATCTCCATCACGCGACAAAATTTTTGGGTAATCTTAATATTTTAGTCAGTCATATTAGGTTAACAAAATTAAGAATTCATTTTTCAAATATAGAGAAATATAACTGATATCATTTCATAATTGTTATAAGGATAAGAAAAGAACATGTGACTGGTTCCAAAGATCTCGTAACGCGGTATTGGAATGCAAGATAAATTAAAATACTACAAGATTACACAAAATAGTCAAAATACATACATACGTGAAATTACATTTGTATATATATGGTTTTTACGATGGAAAATAAAGAGGTGTGCTTTCACATGTTTAAATGGAAAATAATGTTCTTTGATTAGTCCGATTTGTGTTCATTAAATAAAACTGAGTTCAGATTAATTATTTTGTGTAAAGATATTTCATGTCGATTAAATATATTTATCACGTCACATTTAGCCAGCTCCATTCTAATTGAAAACATATCCTGGAATAAATAATTCTTTAGCATTTAAGATGTCTTGTCTCAAGAGTATAAGTATAATATTAGGAATAAAATCAACTTGGATGTATGTTTTCTGAAGCATCATTTTTAAATGACTAGATTGAGAATAAAAAGGACTAGAAATCGGAGTACATGATTAACATGGGACCAGTTTATTCGCCTTTTGTATGCTTACTTAATAGTAATAGACAAAAGAATTTTAGAGATGACCTTAATAGCAATAGACAAATAATTTTATACATGACCTTGATGTTAGCCTTTTGTATGCTTTACTCCATAAGTCGTTTGAAAAGAATTCTCATTAAATTTGAAAATTATCGTCAGTTTAGTCTTAAAATGTTTGTACAAATCATAATCAATTTTATAGATGACCTTGATATTAGAGCCTCTTAATTCTAAAAGTCCAGCTGTTTGTTCGAGCTTCCAGTCATCAGCGATGTTGCCATTGGCCAATTCATTTATGATTTATATGAGAGTTTTTGTATATTAACGCGTCTGTCCTCTACATTTATTACTAATTATAAAGACTCTTTGGTTGACAAAAACAAAACACTCTTCAGTTCGTTCTATAACCCCATCTGTTTGAATGTGTATTGTTTCTTTTTAAGAAAGAATTTAAGCTTTCTGTAGTATTGTTTTCTTGTCTATACCCCGTAAATTTAGCTTCTGGATGTTCCTCGTTTATTTGTTTTTTTCTTCAGATTCTTTGGCTCTACCATTTCCCAAGATCTAGAACTAGTTTTAAATTATAATAGTATATACTTAGCGATATTAATTACTTAATTCTAATATAGTACTGTTACTCCAAATTTTATACTCAAATTTTAGATCCGACATAACTGAAGCAGTTGATTTCAGTCAGTTGAACCAACTATATTGAGAACTAAATTTGACTATATTAATAAATTGTTTCATTCATATTATCACATGATTCCTAATCAAGATTGCATAAGTAACTTCTTGTTATCTTTCTTCCATTACATATGTATATTTACATATCTATATATGTATGCATTATAAATTAACGATGTTCTATGTCAATTGGCCCAATTTGAAAAGAGCTTGGTTTGCAACCAAATTTGTCTCCTCCACGAGACCTCGACACAATCATTTTGCTTTGCTAATATCTCTACACAAAACCACATAAAAACAAAAAACAAAAAGGAAAAGGTGGCGAGAACAAAAAAAAGAGAGAGAGAGAGAGAAGAAATCAAGAAACTAATATACATCCATTACAGACATAAAGTTTCCTACCAAACGTCCATTTTTAAAATGTGAACAATATCCCACTTTTACCAAAACAAAGCCTTTTCGTAATATAATGTGTTTATTATATGCACTCTTTACTAATTTCCTTGAATCTTTTTTAAAAAGACTTTCTGTATTTATTCACTATTTATCTTTTCTTTTCAATGAGGGGAAAAACTTTCTGTATTTATTCACTATTAATCTTTATGCTTTTCAATAAAGATATCTCCAAATGTTCATGGGATGGATTACCAATGATATTCATTTGTGAACTGTGATATTCTATTACTGAGGACAGTGATCGTTACATTCGTTTTGTCCACTCGTCTCGTTAGGACTTAGGATAGTGGCTAAAGACATTAAGCTATTGCTTTTTTTTTGTGTGTAAATTTTTCAATGTTGCGCCGTACTCAAAAACAACTTTAGTAAAGTTGAATCAACCCTCTTTCTCGATACCGGTTAAGTTAAAATGCACTGGATTTTTAGTCATTGTTATCTAACTAAACTAACATAATTCTACATTCACAAATCCATACATCAATCTACATTATTTAATGAACGTAGCTTTTAATAAGTTTTTTAACTCGGACAATGACGAGACTAGAGAATGCCACGCTGGCTAGTCACTTTTAGTATTTATTATTCTACAAGACTACAACGTACATTTCACAAAGCCACAACGTCATCCCTGACCGGTATAAGAGGGAAAAAACGGCATGCAGTCTTAGATCATATTAGACCAAAAGCCACGTCTGATTTATTCAGTAAATATGGGCCTAAAAATGTTTGGGCCTTTTAAATTTATCTGGGCTTGATTGCATCTCTTTTTCTTTTTTTTCCCCCTGTTTCTACTAAGGTCTTTTCGTTCGTTGTTTTGTTCGCTTCACCATCTTCACCGCGCGACGACTCTCTTCCTATCGCAAACTGGTAATCAACCACTAAGCAGAAATCTCGATTCAGTTTTTGTACGTTTCGTTTGATTTAGGGTTTTTTCAGGTTTATGAGCTGTGTTTGAATCTGTCCACATCTCTATCTATTCATTATATTTCTACTCTCTTTAGACGTCCGTTTATAGCAAAAGTTAGCAATTTGCAATGGAATACGATTACATGCTGATTCAGTTTGGAGTTGCACTATCTTAATAAGCTCGTTAATGGCAGAAATTGGTTATTGTCTCATGAATTTGAATACTTGATAGTATCGTCTCCACTCTTCTGTTTTGTAATTCCCAATCTAAGTTTCCCGTCTTGCCGTCTCAGCCACTAGCGAATACGACATGGCTTGTAATTCCTCTGGCTGTGAGTCCGGTTGCAATGGCCGCGAGAAGGAAAATGGAGGCAAAACGGAGGAAGTTGCAGTAGCTGGTGGTGTTAATCAGGAGAGTGTCTGCGTTAAGTGTAAATGCAACGAGCCTATGGTTTTTGGGGACGGTGGCTCGGAAGATGGAAGATTCTGCGCCGATTGTTTCAGGAACAATGTCTTTGGGAAGTTCCGTCTCGCTGTTACTTCTCACGCCATGATTACTCCTTCGGATAATGTCCTCGTTGCTTTCTCCGGCGGATCATCTTCCAGGTTTTGCTCTCTTTGTTGTTTTCTTTCTTTTTCTCTCTGTTTTCGTTAACTGTTATCTAAACGTAGTGGAGTATGATGTCTTAGGGTTGCTCTACAATTTGTGCACGAGTTGCAAATCAAGGCTTTGAAGAATTATGAGGCGAGTCGAGATAGATCTTTACCTGTGTTTGGTGTTGGTGTTGCGTTTGTGGATGAAAGTGCAGCTTATCCTTCTCTTTCCACTGGAATGGTTGATGCGATCACGTGGATTCGATCCACTGTGGCTGATTTGTCTCCACCTGAAAAGGATCTCCATGTTGTTCCGATCGAAAGCGTCTTTGGTTCAGACTCTCTTGAAGCACGGGATAGGTTCGTAAAGCTGTTGGATTCTGTTTCTGACGAGACTGGAAAAGAAGACCTTTTGCTGCATCTGAGAATGTTGTCTTTGCAGAAGGTTTGGCTGTTATATTGATTTGTGTCTGTAGGGAAAAAACCAGTCTTGGAAATAACTTTATTTTGTTTAATATTGCTTGATAATCCTTTTTAGGTTGCCTCTGAGAATGGATATAACAGATTAGTACTAGGATCATGCACATCGAGACTCGCTTCCCATGTTCTTACGGCCACTGTCAAGGTGTGTTGCTTACCAGCCCTGATTGGACTCGTTTTTTTTCTTCTGTTTTTTGTTTTCTATAGATTGCATTGTAGAGAGATTGTCATGCTAGATAGCGAATACAATGGTTACATCAAAGAATGTAGATATTTCAGACATTTAGTTACATCTGTTAATATATGTTTTGGTGTAAATTTTATATTTTGTATTCATTGTTTATATGTATTTTTGTTTGGACATTCCATTTAGACTACTTTCTACCGACATTGTGTTTTGAAGTGCATTTTTTCTTGAGACAGGGACGAGGGTATTCATTATCAGCAGATATTCAGCATGTTGATGCGAGATGGAAGGTTCCCATTGAGCTTCCGCTTCGTGATTGTGTTTGGCAGGAAATAACTAGACTCTGCCATTTGGATAGGTACGTATATTAACTACCGTTGTCCACACATGTATATTCTTGGCATTTCCTGTTCAACTGTGAATGACATCTAATACATTTTGGGCAGGACAGTTTAAAGACTGTGGAGTTGGCTCGTCATCCTCAATCCGGGATCAATGACTTGGTGTCTTCATTTGTTGCTCTGTTGCAGGTGCATATTATGTTTTGTCTTCTGCGTTTCCTGTAGTGCATTGCATGGTTGCTTCTTACTTCTCTGTCTTTGCTGATTCATTGGTCTTCGTGTGCAGGAAGAAAATCCTTCTCGGGAGTGCACAATTGTACGGACAGCTGCGAAGCTGACTCCATTTTACTTCAATAAAATCCCCGAGACCGACGACTCTTGTGTTCCTTTGGCCACTCAGAGGCGTCTAAAGAAATTCAATCTCAAATATGACGGTTCTATGACTACTGAAGCATTCTGTCCTATCTGCAATGGCCCGCTAAATAGATCAGACTCATCGGATTTGAATACTTTGGATGGATGCCTTGAAACTGATGATGTCCTTTATGCTGCTTGCTGTTCAAGTTGCCGGTTTCAGATACTTCCACAAGATAGATCATCCCTTGAGCATTTCGGTTCACTTCTACCACATCACATGATTTCCCAAGCCAAGCATCAAAAGGTTAACAGTCAAGCTTATCTGAGGTGAGTACCTAAAATGTTAGTTTGCTAATCAATAGCACTGAACTTAGATTTGGTTTCATATTAGAGCTATTGATCGTTACCAGGATCAGTAAAAAGTTTGATATTAGCTTCCGGTTCTATATATTGTCACATCTCAGATCTCTTGGGCTCTTGAGGCCTGTGTTAAACTCTACTTAACGTTTGTTTTCCAAATTATTTTCAGGGAGAGAATAAAAGACTGTTTGCTCTTGGACAATGAAGAGGCTGTCTAAATCTGCAATGCTTGTGCTGCTTCAGATATCATTCTTCCCGGCTTGCACAAGGCAGAGAGAAATTTAAACTACGTTATATAGTTTTGTAATGTTTCTTGCTTACACTTCAAATGACCACACTTCACATGACCTGCTTGAAGCTAAGGAAGAAAGGAATCTCGATCTAGTTATGAGAAATTTTATACCATCATAAGTACTTATGGAGTTAATGGTTTTAGTTTGGTCGGTCAAGATTTTGGAAATTTATGAATCGAGCACATCTATATTATGAGTGACACATCAGGGATTTCGTACAATTATGGCTTATACAGTATGTGTAATATATATTACAGTAATAGAAAATAATTGGAACAAAATTACAGAGATCTTTATAAATTAAATAATCAAAGAAATTAAAGTACAGTTGCGTACGAATTGTTTTCTTCTGTTAAGGAGATTTTAAAAAAAAAAAAAAATACAGAAGAGGACTAAACTAAAGTATATTTCTTTCAAGAGAGTGAACAGATATTTTCCATGTAAGAAAACTGAAAACTATAATTGAAATTAAATTAAAATTAATTGGAGGAACAAAAGCCAACTAAAAACCACCAAAGTCTCTAACGCAAAAAGAAGGGTCCTTATCAGGCATATTGCCAGCATGGCGTAGACCAAGCGTGAGTGACACGTCACCAGTAGGGTTTGTCCCAAACCTTATAACATTAACACCATCAATGTCAGTATCATCGAACCCGCCAACACCTTGTTGACACGTGGCAACCGCGGAAAACGAAGCTGAGCCACCGTAGCTAGAGACTGCGGCGGCATCGGAGTAGGAGGAGGAAGGGAGTAGGAGTGATGAAGGGTCGTTTTCGTAGGCATTGATGTCGGATGATCTCAGACGGTGGCCTGTCGCTATTGCTGCGTCTGCGTCTGCGTCTGGTGCGGTTGCTTCTGACTGTGCAGTTGTCATTGGAGTTTGCGAAGTGGTCCGAACTGCAGAGAAGTTGCTTTCATTGTTGTTGGATTTTGTGCTCTTGTCGTTGTTGCTGTTTTTTGTTTCTTGATCTTCTTCGTTTTCTTCTAATTCTTCTTCTTCTCTTTCTCTTTCTTTTGATTCTTGTTGATACATTTCTTCCACCATTGGTTTCCATAATCTAACCCTAGCATTTATGAACCAATTTGACACCTGAATAAAAAAGACAAATTTTTTCACCAAGTTAATAATAATAGTTGGTTATATCTAAAGACGTTGTGGGCTCTTTTTATTATTTGTCATTTGGTTATTTAATGTATGCAAGAAAATGAGGGTTTCTTCGGGATAATTGAAAGCTGCAAACTTTGATGTACTTGAGGTAAAATGGTCCCTTTTTGAGTCTTTAATGTCGATCGCTTTCTCTCCCATCTCATACACATAACGCTCTCTCTCTCTCCTATGTTTGTGTGGGTTTGTCTATATATATATATATATGTATATACATATATAATAGTGATAAAACGAATCCCAAGAAAAGTTAATAGTGAGTGGAAGGCAAACACATGGTGTTCCTCTGTCGTCATATCAAACCAAACGAAGGAAAGAAACAAAAACCATGCAAAAGATTTATATCAAAACAATCACCATGGAGTCCTAGTTAGTGTGCTCATACATGATGTCTTCTTAATTTCTTTCCTCACCAAATAAGGTTTGTTTATCAACTTTTGTTGTTGGTAAAAGGTATAGGTTTATCAACTTCTAAACACTTCTTGATCATGTTTGTATTAAGCATATGTTTATTCAAATGGCCATTTTCTACATGACTACATGTATATATAGATAATGCGGGACATAAACTGTTAATGTACTACTACTAGTTGAACTACGTATACGTACTATTGTGGAGTTTTTACTAGCATAGAATCATATAAGAGTATAAACTAATTAAAGTTTGATTAATTCAAACAGAAATGTTTGATTGTGTTTCGATTTGCAAGTTAAAATTGGACTGTAATCCTAAGACATGTTACTACAAGATTAAGAACTCATTAGTAGTCCAGACTGTAATATTATCTAGAAACTAAAATTGATCCATAATACTGACTAAGAGTAAGATACTCAACTAACACAACTTTGTTAAACAATTAAAGGGAAATATCTGATCATCGAAGATCCTTTTTTTTAGGTGGGTTAATGTCTATGTAGATATACACATGTAGATAACTATATGTATTTTTGTTCAAAAAAAAACTATATGTATTTTTATTTATATACTGACCTGATTTCTGGATAAACCAGTCTGTCGTGCCAAGAGGTGCTTATCTGCATCGCTTGGATACCTGAGAAAGAGACCAGAAAATGACATCACTCTATCATTGCCCTAAACTCAATCTAATTTCTTTTCTTTATATTTTCTCTATATACAATACAATCAAGTATATGCAAGAAAAAGTACTGTCTTTCTCCTTCTTTTTCCTAACAAGGGCGTGAGAATCTAAGAGACAAAAGAAAAGCTGATGATTACATAGCATAGATACAGTTTCTTTTTTTTCTTCTTTAACTTAGTCTTTTTTTCTTGGATTTACTCATAAAGCAATTGACAGAGAGGTAAGAAAAAAAAAAAGTATAAAAACACTAGTCCTTTGCTTTATTTCCATTTTATAGATAACTATCACTAACAATAAAATAGCAAAATTCTCACTGACATAAAACTGAAGAAAGTAGTGATGAAATAACAAGAAAATATAGACTTTTTGTTCAGCTTTTTAGAAAATTAATTCCTGTCAAACGTGAATGATTTATGAGAAATGAATAATAAGAAACACATTAAAAAAAATTTAACTTACGGGTGGAGGAAATGCTCGAAGAGCCAAGCTCTAAGGATATTAACGGAGCGTTCAGGTAAACCACGTTGTGGCCGCCAAGCTTCTTGTTCCATCATTCCCATTTGGTGAAACGCACGTTGCTGACGCAAACTCTGTTCTAGCAATCGCAATCGCGGTGTTTCACCTTTAGTTAACCCCGAAGAAGATATTCCAGCTGCATCTTTGTCCCCAAGAAGCTCGCAACTCTGCTTAAGCTGAGCCGCGACCGCATCTTTAAGGCAACGAAAATGCCTTGACATAGCTTTCTGAGCCAATGCGGTATATGGCAACGCCGCGCCGTGGCCCATTACTATGTCGAATGAGTTCACAACCATTTGCATTTGCTCGCAGTAATGGTTGTACCGTCGGTCCACCTGCCAACAAAACGAAACTATACATTATACAATCCATGTATTTTTTTGATATTTGCTTTTTCTTATAATTAATGTTATTGTTAACTCGTGTGTGTTAAATATCCACGTGATTAGTATTAGTGTAAAGATTTGTTTTCACGGGCCGGGGACAATATATTAGTGTTCGAGTTTCTTCGAATAAAGTACAACTTGTCAATAAACAAACGAGATCAAATTAGTTACGTTCAAAGAGACGAATGGAAAATAAGATATTATAGACAAATTAAGGACCAGAAAATATACTCCAAAATTATCGTTTTCCTATCAACAGTAGGTTTTATCGTATCCTCGGGAATAAAATAAAATACCTTCTTTAGTGAGAAAAAATAAGTCAACTAAAAATTAGAATAATTCAATAATGGGTAAACAATTAAGTAACGTTAAGAGCTAGCATTAGGAGGACGTAGCTTATATGGAGAAGGAAACGCAAATTTAATTGATCGGTAGTTACTTAATGCATTTTTTTTCTTCGATTAATCGATTCCACCAATCGCTATAAGCATCAAAATATTCCTTCTAATACGACCGTCACACGAATAAAATAATTAAATGTTAAATAAATGATGGTAGGATTGCGTAATCAGACTCTAGCAAAATAATCAAATCACGACCAACAATTAGAATAATCTACCCACACAAAATGAACAATTCAGTCATATCATGTTTCTAGTTTCTTTGTAATAACATTTGGATCAATAGCGTATTTGACTCTGACAACAATATGAATTTTATGGAATTTCATGAAAAGTTTTTTACGTAAAATGTGTGAATGAAAATATCAGTAATTAAGGACCTAGTCAAAAATCAAGATTGAAACTAAAGAACAACTAATAACATACCTCTTCAAGCATGGTGAGTAGCTTAACTTTCCTTCTTTGATGCTCAATCCGATCAGACGCCGATAAAGGAGAATGATCCTTGATTGCTCCCGCCGACGAAGGAGAACCACCGGCACCACCGCTAGTATTAGGGTTTGAGCTGTTCCTAAGTTTGGATTTCTTAGAAAATCCTCTTCCAACGCTACAAAACTCCTCCAACAACTCTTGAGCGGCCATCGTGTACCTAGAGTTTCTTAGGATATTGACCGCTCCGGTGGAAGAGGTAGATGTCGCGGCGGCGGCCGCCGGAGATGATCGGAATTGGTTTAACACTTGATGATGTTGAGATGAATCAGCAAGAAGAGTCTTGAACTGATTGTATTGATGATGATGAGATGATGCCTTAGAAGAATTGCTTCCATAGTAAATGTTTCTTCTATACTCTTCGGCTTTTGCTGCAGCCTCTAAAGACGATGAGAGAGATAAGGACAAGCCTTGTCCTCCGCTGTTTTCCACGTGGACGGTCCCGATCTCCCTTTGGCTGTTGTGATGATGATGATGATGATGATGATGATCGGAGGAGGAGGAGGAAGATTGCCACGTCAGGTGTTGTTGGTGATGATGCTGATGTGGAAGCTGATGCATAGACATCGTATTAGCGTAGCCTTGATGATGATGAGATGGATTCGGTAGTAACATGTGAAGAGTTGAAGAACTGTGGTGGCTCCTTGTGGTGGTTGTCGATGCCGGAGACGGTGGTTGTTGCGGTGGCGGCGGATTCATCAAGAATAACTGCATGGCGGCGGCGGAATCCGTAGCATTCATCGCCGGAATGTTCTGATGTTGCTGCTCAAGTAACTGTCTATTTGACCGGAAAGATTGGCCGTGGTCAAGATCTCCTCCTCCACCACCGCTGCTTCCAGGGAAATTAAACATCTCTGATAACATTCCGGCAGTTTCGTAGACCGGAATCCCACTTCCGGCGACTGAGGATTCCTCGTCCATCTCTACCCTTTGATGTTCTTGCTTCTGCTGAGTTAAATTGGGAGAATCTGATCGGTCGAATCCATTAGAGAAGCTGAAGATTCCTCCTTGGTGTGGTTGATGAGGATGATGATGATGGTAATCTTGGGACATAGAATTATCGCAAAGAGTCTTCAAGAGAATTGTACAAGTAGGAGAAGTTTTAGCTATTCCCATATCAATCTTTCAATCTTCTTCTTCATGATATATATATATATATATATATATATATAAATATCTCTTTCTCAGGATCCTGTAATGATTCAGACAAAGAATCTTTAAAGAAAGAGAGAGATGGTCAACTAGGTTTTATGCTGTTTTTTCATCTATCTACATCATCTACAGACTACAGCTTATGAACAAACATATATGAGCAGAGAAGAAGAGAATACCTTTGGAGTTTGCTGCAGAGAAAAGAGAGAGACGATAATTGAACTTAGGTATCGTTTTCTCTCTCTCTTTCTGACTATCTCTTTCTGGACTCTCCTTTTCTTTGTTTTCTTTGTTACTAAGAGTTTATTCAGGAATTCCTTTAAAATAAAATAAAACTGATAAGTCTCTCCCAAAGCAAAAGGAAAGAGAGAAAAATATGAATATGATAGTGAGAGAAGTCACTCTTCTTTCTTCTTCGCCTTCCTTTTTAGCCCACCAATCTTCTTCATTAGTTTCTTTCGTAAAATTATTTACTAAAATTTTACCCAAAAAATTGTTGTACTAACCGATGTTTATGTAATCCATTGTATAAACAGATATTATTCCCTGCAAAAAAAAAAAAAAAAAAAAAACAGTGCATATTTCTTATTTTTCCGATTTTTTTATGACATTTTTATTTTGTTGACGATATAATAAAACTAAAGTTAACAGGATTATACGATATCAATATTTATATCTTCACGGAAATGTAGGCTGCCATCAACTATTTCTAGATGTTAGTTTTGGAAACTAATTTTAAAAGCAGCTAAAGGAATTAAAAGAAAAAGGTGAGTACAAGGTCATATTCCAATGATACGAACCACCACCATAATAAATATAAATAGTAATACTGTCGTGTGACCAAAAAAATAATAATAGTAAGATACTTGCCGCATCTATATTTCCCAAGATACCCTGAGTTTCGTCTATCGTTTTTTCTGATTACGCTGGGTTTACTATCCCAGATAGGGCCAATTAGGTCTATTCCACACTGGTCCTTGTTGGTGCGTAGCTCCTAACTTATATGATATTGCAGTACATAGGTTAGACCGTTAGACCTTAGTATGAATCTTAGATCAATAAAAACTAGTAATTAACATAATTTCAAATCCACAAATTTATTTTTAAAGTATCGATCAGAATAAGCTTACATTGTATGTGTGACCCTTGGGAATACCATGGAATTTTCTTTGTAGAGTAGACATAACAAAATCGTATTTTCGTTTATTACAGACTTTTATTTTTTGCCGAGATTATGATTAACTTAAAATTATAATTACTTTACCAAAACAAATGAGTCTGTCAAACTCAATTGCCATATCAACTGATTCTAAGTTCTAACAACAATTTAGTCACTTGAAATCGACTTTTTCATTGAACTGACAACTTAGCGACGTATTAAATAGCACTATTTAGTGATCACATTCACATAATATTCCACGTACACAGGGTCACTAATGTAACTATAGAATTTACAAAATTAGGTTGGCTTCTTAGAATAACCATGCAAGAAAATGCAAAAGTTACCAAATCAATGTAACCAACCTATTTTTACGGACCGATTTTGAAAGCATAAATAGTTTGCTACTTGAGGTTCGAGTACGATGTAAGTAGGAATGCTTGGAGGTCAATGTAATGAAACTCCGTCTACATTTTTTTTTACCTATTAAATAAAAATTCAAAGATGAAAGTTTCGCACGCACCGGACGTGTTGTTTGGCACGTGTGAAAGGTAGGAGGGAGGATCAGAAGTCAAGTGCTCAGCTGCTCGCAATACTAATTAGGTTCGTGTGTGGGGATAATCTCTAAAACTAATGAATCGACACATAACTGATTTTTGGTTCAACAATTTTGAGATCAGGGGTGTGTTATGGCTTGTACTACCTCTAAAATAGCTCCATATGAGCATCGATCGCGTCTGTGGTGTATGATAATTGAATAGACAATTAGATAAGTTTTTACAGATATTGAGATTTCTTTTTTTTAGAAAAAAAAACTGAGGACTTATATATTGTATCACGTATGTCTTTATAAAAAATAACATTCCCAAATATGAATTGTCGTGCATATCCCACAAACGGTTAGGGAAATATTTGATATCGCTATGTAGGTTTATAAATCCATAATGGGATGTACATAACTAATAGAAATGTCGAAAGCAAAAATGTAAGTCCACTTACTGTGACATGAAACCATGTTGGAATCTATCAGTTAATAATTATAAAAAAAAAAAATGAGTGGCTTTTCCTCGAATATCATATATAATACTAAACATATAAACATATCAACAAGTAACACAGCGGGTTTTTGCGAGGTAATATTTAAGGTGTGCTGTCAAACAAAATATGTTTCAAGGTGTTATCTTGATATGTGGGTTTCTTATAATTAGTTCAACCTTACTTAAGAGCATCATCAAAAACATATGGATTTTCGACAAAAATTTCCGATAAAATTAAACCATAGTTAAACAAATTCTTAACGAAAATAAGACAAACTTCTGAAATTAGGTGATATGAGTGAATACCATCGAAAATAATGGGTTAAAGGTTTGAAGTTCTAAGATTTATAAAAATAAAGGTCGTAAAATTTTTATAAAATATGTTTATGATTTTATTAAGTTTTAATTTTGATACAATTGGAACGACAATTGACAGCACAACCTCCTTCCCTCCTACCGATATATCTTTTCTCCTTTTAAAATGGTTCTCTTCAGAAAAGAAAAAAAAAAGTTGAGCGGGTGAATTCTCACGTGAATCCCCAGCCTTCGTTCACACGTATGCACAAACCATCCATTACGTGCCGAACCTTCCATTTTCGCACGTGTGAAGAGGATCTCCTTCTTTTTGCATTTATTATACTCGTTACCCACCAAAGCTAATTTGTAAATCGTTCCTATTGCTCTTCGTTATTGATCTCCTTCTTTTTGCATTTTATATTCTACACGTTTCTCGCTTCTCGACCTCACATAAACATTCATCATAACATCGATTATTTTTCTCGATTTCTTACGCGTCTTATTAGAAAAAAATCAAAGACTGATCTTTATATGTTTTTATTATTGAAAGTCACAAAATCACAAGACAATTAATGTTCAAAAAAATGAAAAAATAACAAGACATACTTTACTCACTTTTTTTTATCGGGGAACAATAATTTGTGATGATATACAAACTCTTGATAACGAACATTATTATCAAATTAATATATCAGAATATTTCGCAATATGGATATATTTATTGTTGTAGATTTTATACATGACTAAGTCTATAACAAAGCTGTTTATAACTGGTGATCATATATCAATTTAGTTAATTTAAAAACAAAACAAATCGAATTTGCTCTTTTTGTAGTAGATAATTTAATGGTTAATTATCCATGTTCGATATGATGAGATGATGTGCAATTGCAAATAGAGCTAAAGCTACCACGCACTTCTTTGTCTAAAGAAAGAATACAAATGAGCTTTTAGTTTCTTAGCTTTTACAACGACTCATAATGTAGGCTCATAACCTCATATGTTTAATTTATTGTAACATATCATTCGATTTCACATCCATCGATCGTCGGCATATGAAGTGCTATATCTCATAATGAGTTTGTGATTTCCCCTACAACCTTTTTATTATGATTATATAAATACAATAAAGTCGATGAGAAATAAACAAATAAATTTGTTTTTTTTTTCATGAGTTATGGGAGATTGAGACCACAAAGGGAAGTTGTGAAAATCGCAGTGATGGTCCCTTCTTATTCCATTTCTTGTCCTTTTGGTGTCAATCTAATTGTTCCTTTCATCTTTATTTTTATATTATTTTCTCTTATCATCTCCTTTTAATTTATTTATTGATTTTATAACCGCTTTTAAGAGTGTTTATTTATTTTTGCACTGTAATTTTGCAACGTCAGAGTCTTTTTGTCTAATGGTGTGACCACATGTCCACAAGCTCACTACTTGTTTTTAGGTTAACTGCCTTTGAGTTTTTAGTACAAAATTTTTTTGAGTTTTTAGTACAAATATACATATATAACGAATGTGTGTGCATGAAAACTATCAGAATCTAGGCATCATGATATGTTTATTTTGAATTTTGCTCACTGCTATCTTAGTGCATGTATTTGTCTTTTCAGGGTTCGAATAATTTACTTCCTAAACATCTAAAGAGTTGCTTACTTTAGAGATTTGATGGTATTTTATGCTTAGGCATCAAAAGTCATATTTTGAAGGATTCTAGGATTTAGAATGTGACTAATTTAAGATTCCCACCAAAACTTATCATCGAATACATAGTGCGGTTATGCTTTTAAGATTGACCAAAATCCATAAGCTGTTTGCCAAAACTTCTGTGTAGACATCAAAGTGAACATCAGAATAATTCTGAATTAGGTCATTAGCTAGAGAGTGGTCCTATGTTGAACAAAACACTGTAATGAAATAGGTTTGAAGAATATAACAAGTGGATAATCATACAATTTGAAGAATATAATTAGTGGATAATCCTACAATCTAATACAAACCCAACTTTCTGACCAAGGAAGGCATGTATATAAATAACGTGTTGACAGTTGGATTAATTAGTACATTATTTAATACTCAATTTTTTTGTGTATTGATGAGTATGAATCTACAAACTTTTATTTTCGTTTTGAATTAACGAGCGAAATTTATGGATTGACTATGTATAACAAGCACAAAGTAAAGGTGTAAAAATTCATTTATAATTAGCTTCTTTTTTGACGGCTAATTAACTTTGATGTAGATGTAACAAAACGAAATACATAATATAACGATTAAATTTTGAGTTTAAAGTGACGGACTTTAATATACATCTCTCAACTAAATAATTTCTATTGTAAGATTAGGGAATCCTCACCTAATGATGTTAAGCTCTAACCGATCAGATCTGATTTCTCCGCGGGCAACCATAATATATGGATGTGTGTACTTATTAAATAGCGACATGGAGAAACACGACTTATGGCAATTTTTTTCTTAATTTCTTTCTATACTCTTCCTTTTCACCTATAAATTTTGGATGCTTATCTTATGAAAGGAAAAGTTTACTTGAGAGTTGAGAGCCATGAGTTGGTAGTTTGAGACAACGAGAGTGTGGATATTTGTGAGAAAGAAACAAAGTTGATCATTATAGTGAGTGGAAGTTATTTATCTATATATAGCCATATAGGGAAATACATAAAGGTCCTTACAAGATTAAGAAAGAGTCGACATCTTCTTATATGAATGCTACAGCTCAGTTTTCTTATAAGTTATCCCTAATTCGAATTCAATTTTTTCCATCTATGATATACCAACTTCGGCCTGACCTGGTATTGATAAGCCTAGACTTTTAGTTCATAAGAACATCTTCAACTAGACTATACAAATCTTTGACCCAACCAACAAAAAAACAAGAAAAAACAAAACTAGACTATATATATATATATATACTAATCAAGATTTAGCATTTTTGAATACTTTAATTGTCAATATATGTATATCCATTAAAAACTGAGAGCATCGTATACTGTATAATTTATGAAGAAAGTATATATAATATTATATAATTCAATGTAACATACTAAGATTGATATATATACAAAGATCGAGAGTCGGATATGTCACAAAGATATCATAACGATAATCGCAAACATGAAAAAGGCAAAATATACTATACTCCATCCATGTGTACCCAATCCCCCACACGTTACTAATTAATGAAAGCAGGGGAAACGAATGAAAATGTTTTTTTTGTCTTTTGTATTTTGATTATTAAAATTTCAACATCACAGCGAGTTAATTTATGTGCCAGACATGACTATGACTAAATATATAGTACAAGTTATAAGTTGTAACTATGCAAGACTGTATAGAAAATGACTATTGACCTGGCCAAATAGAATTCAGGAATATGCAGCGCTTTAAATATTTTCACTCAGAATTACGTTCTTGTTCCCTGATTCTGAAAAAGAAACAAAAAGCTAGACAATCATGATAAGAAAAGACTTTGTAACATTCTTTTTAGTCTGAATTGAGAGTAATAATGTGTCGACTCAACGGATATGTCTTCCAGTTTTATCAATTTATAGGTGATTTAGTATTAACTTTTGATAATATACATGAACCCATATATTATAAGGTAGTGTTTGTCTCATTGGACAATAGACAATAGTTGGTTAAATAAAAGCAAAAATGGAATCAAATGAAGAAAAACAAAAGAAGCAAAATGTTTTTATGTGTGAAGGTCCAAGGGACCAACATTCTCATGGTCTGGACCTCTCCATTTTCCAATGTTATCTTTGCATTTAATTTGCATGTAAATCGTATAAGATAAACCTAAATAAAAAATACAATAATCTCTACGAATTCATATAATATATTTCATTGTCTAGATTCGTATATAACACCAATAATTAGTTAGGACCATTTTTATAGCTTTTTAGATCTCTTGACCATTTTGTTATAATGTTTTCTAATATATGCAATAATACATAACAAAACACCATACTAAAACACTTTTTTTTTAGAAAAATTGATTTTCCCCTTGTTTATTTCTTCTCTACATATTTTTGATGCGAAACTCACAACGTTCATATAATCATATTCATGCTTGAGGTTGGTGACCAAAGAAAGAAAAGAAAGAAATAAAGAAAGGACTCGAGGCTTTGTTCACAATTCAGAAATGGTCCGAGAAACGCAAAATACAGCTCAGTGTGATTGGTTCACGTGGAAAACCCGGCAAAGGATGGCCACTTCCACGTGGGATTTGTGGTCCATATCCAAATCAACGTGTCCTAATTTGCCACGTGTCTTGACCACTTTAGCTTGACAGCCTGTGTCGTAGCCTCAGGCCCTCAAGTTTTCAATTCACCCAAATCTTAATACTATCTTTTTTTTTTTTTTACTTATGTTTAAAACTTTTTTAGAAAAAAGGAAAATAGCCGGTGAGAGCAGTAATATGAAAAGGAGATTTTTTCTCTTTTCCGATTTTTCCCAAAACGAAAAAAACAATTTTCCCCTAAATTAATTTGAAAGAAACTAAATACTCAATTCTATATAAAGAAGCTAAATATGATGCAAGAAACAAAAAATAGAGCCTACTCAGTACTCACTTAGATGGGACTTAGGATAGAAAGATTTCGGCCAAGATTTATCTGCTCTTTTTTTCACAACATGATTTCTCTGTTTGCCCATTTGATTTGGGGGCAAACTCGCAATTTTAAAATGAATATTGTTTGTAGCTCTATAGAGGTTTTTTATATAACGTCAACAAATGTTAAATTTTTACATCTGAAGATTGAATCTACATTTACATGCGGCCGAACAGAAACCCTATTTAAAACTTTAACATTTGTTGACGTTATTTAAAAAAAAAAAAAACTCTATAGCTACATTTACATGCAACCGAAAATTAGTAGCTCATTTCGCAAAGTCGCTAACCCATAACTAAAAAGAAATTTGTATAACAGTAGGTTTGATTTTCAAGCCCAATGTTTAAATATGGGCCTTAAGAAACCTATCTTGGTTATTTACATATCATCTAGTTTGACACACACAGAAAAAAAAATCGTATACATCTTGTATAAAAAATTAAAAACTAGATAAGTAGATAGGGTAAATGTAATGATTTTAAATATGCGAATAAATTGAAATTTTTTGAAGCCAATTGTTAACTTTGATGACCAATTTATATAACTAATATGTTTGTCTGTTGCGGTACTTTTATTCATTGCTTGCGTAAGAATCGAGTGGGATCACAGTATGAAGAACGTCACTCATTTCAACTACTACTAAAAGTAATCAGAACAGAATTACCAAAACAAAATGATATATATATTCTTTTATCTAAGCAGAAAATTGTTAGGCACGGTAAAATAGTAATTTTGGGCAACTAAACCACTGATTGATTGGCTAAACACAATAATACACACGTTTATTTTTTGTCCTTTCCCATACGATTGTTGATTTGAACCTACCGAATTCTCTTGACCCTTCTAACCAAATCTAATCTCTCTCTACCACAAAATTAAATAATAATATAGGAAACTGCAATGTTACAAACTTGCAATTTATCAATCTCACATTTAGCTTCAATATGTTTTTTTTTCCAATTCATTTGGCCGTTTGTGATAATGCATTAGGTTGAGCTAATTAAAGTATTAGATGACCGTACCTACTATACAATTTTCAAGTTGCCATTTCTTCTTCTAATTTTCAGGTTGGTATTTTCGTGTAAAATTGATTATTCTAGACCATAATTAAGTGACATATATGTGACGATCAAGTGCTAATGAAAAAGTGAGGATCAAAATCATCTTGGAGTGTTGAAAAAAAGGTTAATGAAGAAGAAAGTTATTACTGATTAGAGAGAGTCAAAGGTAGTTGTGTGTCACTAGTGCTAATGCTACTATGCTTGTAAACATCAACTCTCTTTTTTAAAAAAAAGATTTCAAACATTTGATATCTATAAACCTTATTTTTTCTTCCGCAAATAATGTGGTTAATTTTTGTTTACAAGTGCCAACTTGCTTGACCTTAACAACCAAAAAATTGATTTGTAGCCATTTCCAATTTTCCATCATCTTCTCCGTAAAGTTCTTACCTTTAAGTGTGTTCTAATGGAGATTATTCTCTACTCATCTTTCTCTCTCTATCCCCTTCATTTATAAAGCTTTCTTCACGCTTTTTAAGATAATTAACAGCCACGGGTCTTAAAAGCTAAAGGGTTTTGCTTCGAATTCAAGTGTCCCTTCGCTTTCTCTCTCTATTTTTCCTAGATTTTCCCCTGTTTTTGCTGTCCGGATTTTGTAAAGTGATCGAGAGAATTCGAAGAATCATGACTATGGAGTCTACTTTTCTGATCCAAATGGTCGTCTGATTTTTGCCAATTTTGATTGTCGCTTCTTCTTCTCTTTCAGGTAATTTTGATTTCTCTATGCTCTGTTTATAACTTCTACTTAGATTCCTTTTCGTCAACAGGTATAATCTAGAGTCTGTATTTAGAAGCTTCATAAAGATTCAATTTTTGTTTTCCCGGGTATTTAGAATGATGAATGCATATATCCCCTAATGATCTACAACAAATTTAAGATTAGGTCGATTGTTTTGAAGAAGTTTTGGATTAACCTTAGCTTAATGCTATCATCCTTTTACTGGAAACGATCATACAATGGGTAGTTGGATTGCTTTGTAATATAACTCCTACTTTGGTTCCTCAATCTTCATGATTTTGTAATGTGAACCCCTTTATTCTTATGCAACCCACTATAATACCTTTCTTTCAACTGCTGTTTTCCGGGTTAATCAGTTTCTTTTGTTTCTTCTTTGTTGGATCTTTTATCTTAATTTGAATCTTTGTTACCAATTATGTCTTAATGCTTGATTAAAGAAAAAACCTTAAGATTCAAAGCCATGGAGTTTCTTCTCTTCTTTGGATACCTTAAAACAGTGTTTTTCAATGCAGGGAAGGGATTGTTGGTGCCAATGGGGTGGCTTACTAAAATCCTTAAAGGTTCTAGCCACAAATTCTCGGAGGGACAAGTGAACAGAAGATATAGAGAGGATAGGAACTTGGACAGCCCTCGCCATTCTGCGGTAAGTGAGAGTTTCTTCTTCCATGTTCAGGTTCATTCTTTCTTATTTGGAGTGTTACCGAACAGAGATGTCATTTCGAAGTGAAGTTAAAAAAAGGGTTTCTTGGAATCTTGATTCAGGATGGATCTGATTTTGACAAAGAAGAAATTGAATGTGCTATTGCACTCTCTCTTTCTGAACAAGAACATGTAATTCCACAAGATGACAAGGGAAAGAAAGTATTGGGTAAGGTTGTCTATTCGCTGATTGTTTGCAACTGCATAGAGAGAAACAACACAACAAGAGAAGAAAGAAACTTGGTGTGAAACTTTATCTTGCTAAGCTGTTTTCTTTTACCTCATATTCCTTAGAATACAAATCTGAAACCGAAGAAGATGAAGATGAGGATGAGGATGAAGATGAAGAACGCATGAGAGCTCAGCTAGAAGCAGCAGAAGAAGAGGAAAGACGGGCAGCTCAAGCTGAAATTGAGGAAGAAGAAAAACGGCGTGTTGAAGCTGAGTTAGAGGAAACAGAGAAACAGCTTGCGAAAGCTCGATTAGAAGAGGAAGAAATTAGGCGTTCCAAAGCTCAACTGGAGGAAGACGAGCAACTCGCCAAAGCCATTCAAGAAAGTATGAATTTGGGATCTCCTCCTCGATATGATTCTGGAAGTATGTTTCAACCATACCCCTTCCTTATTCCATCTAGTCACAGGTAAATGGTTCAAAAGTAACTTATTATCCATTACTTAGATTCATTCACACTATTACTCATCAGAAATATTGCTGCAATGAGTATTTTTGTTTTCTTTCTTTTTTTATGGTTTTGCAGGATATGCACTGGTTGCCGAGCTGAGATTGGAAATGGAAGGTTTCTGAGTTGCATGGGTGGCGTTTGGCATCCTGAATGTTTCTGTTGCCATGCTTGTGATAAGCCCATTGTAGATTATGAGGTCCCAAGAAATTTTCGTTCAAGTAATTTTTACATTGTCCTGAATCTTGTGAATGCTAACTTGTTGAGTTTTGTTTTACAGTTCTCAATGTCCGGAAATCGGCCTTATCATAAATTATGTTACAAGGAGCAACATCATCCAAAATGTGATGTTTGCCATAACTTTGTGAGTGATTCCCACCTTTTCTTGATCTCAATATTTCGAATAATTTTTTAGGCAAACTTTGTTCTCAAGTGATACTAAGCTTAGTGTGTATGCGTAATTAAACTCCTCTAGATTCCGACAAATCCAGCTGGTCTGATTGAGTACAGGGCACATCCCTTTTGGATGCAAAAGTATTGTCCTTCACATGAGCGTGATGGAACTCCTCGGTGCTGCAGTTGTGAGCGAATGGAGGTCAGTTTCGATATATAACATTTTGTACTAGTATTTCGAAAGCAGAATTTAAGATTCTTCCGTTTGAAATTTGATGCTGTTGTGTGTTTTTTTTGCACATGGTTCCAGCCGAAAGATACAAAATATCTCATTCTTGATGATGGTCGAAAACTGTGTCTTGAATGTCTCGACTCTGCCGTTATGGACACTCATGAATGCCAACCATTGTATCTTGAGATACGTGAATTTTATGAAGGCTTACACATGAAAGTGGAGCAGCAGATTCCTATGCTCTTGGTGGAGAGATCAGCTTTAAACGAAGCTATGGAAGGAGAGAAACACGTAAACCCCGCCATTGATTTATCCTATGTTGCCTATATATAGTGCTCTTTTATTCTCTTGTTGATTTATTTCATTGTACTTACTCTTCAGTCTTGTTGCAGGGACATCATCATTTACCTGAAACCAGAGGACTTTGTTTGTCTGAAGAACAAACTGTCACCACGGTATATCACTCTCACCTTCCTAAAGAGCTTACACTGTGTTTAATTGTTATCCGCCACAAATTGTGTTTGAATCAGAAAGATTTTTCATATAGGTGTTAAGGAGACCAAGAATTGGGGCAGGCTACAAGCTGATAGACATGATCACAGAGCCTTGCAGGCTGATACGCCGTTGTGAAGTCACTGCAATTCTCATTTTATATGGACTTCCTCGGTAAAAACAAAAACAAAAAAAAACACATTTAAGAGTCATAAAGTTTCCTCTTAAACTGAATTTTGTTCTTGATGAGATATCTAAAATACTTGTAGTACACTTGAACAGATTGTTAACTGGATCAATCCTTGCTCATGAGATGATGCATGCATGGCTTCGACTAAATGGTAATATAAAGAATTAATTCTCCCTTTTCGGTAAATGGTAATTATAATTGCTCTTTGATGTTTTGTTGCTATATGTATGATGAGTTTAGGGTATCCAAATCTTAGACCAGAAGTGGAAGAAGGGATATGTCAGGTTTTAGCTCACATGTGGTTGGAATCTGAGACTTATGCTGGCTCTACATTAATAGATATCGCATCTTCCTCTTCCTCATCATCATCATCGGCTGTGGTCACTGCATCGTCCAAGAAAGGAGAGAGGTCTGACTATGAGAAGAAACTTGGTGAGTTTTTCAAGCACCAGATCGAGTCGGATTCTTCATCGGCATATGGGGATGGGTTCAGGCAAGGTAACCAAGCAGTTCTTACGCATGGTTTGAGGCGAACCCTCGACCATATTCGCTTGACCGGTACATTTCCTTAAATAAAAGATTGAAACGAAAAGCAAAAAAAAAAAAGGCTTTGTTATAGTGTTTCTTTAGAGTATAGTGACAGAAAAAAAAGAAGAAGCAAAATGTATAGGTTCAATACACACTAAGAGTCATAAAGTTCCACTTCTAAATATACTTTTGCATGCATTTTATGGCTATTATTACGTCCTTGAACTTTCACATAGTTAGCAAGTGTAAATGAATGATCCATTGCACAATTTTTATTTATTTATTTAACATTTGTGGGAACATGTCACATGATGACATGAAGCAAGGTTGTGTAGGAGAAGTGGAAAAGTCAATTTATCTTGTAGAATAGTCAAAGGGTCAGGAACTTCCTAATGATTAAATCGTGGTGTTATTCAAATCGATTTTTCAACGCGAAGACAATATTTGTATATGTCGAAACTTATATATACTATATATATGCTCAATACAAACGGTGCTTTGGATTTGAGAAAGTTTTTTATAGTTTTTAACAACGTTATGGTTTTTATCTGTTTTTTTTTTTTTTTTAAACTGTCGGTCCACTAGTACGTTTTTATCCCACTGTGGGAAGTTGGAGTAAACTCTATCTACATGCTCAATATCAAGCAGAGGTGGCACTAAAGTCATTTATTTAAAGTTTTTTTGCGTTTAACACAAAATGACGCTAACTCCCTTCTAATATTAAGTTTTTAAGTCGGTTAACGAAATGAGGTTAATTAAGTGACGTTTTCCGGCGAATTTCTTGTAGTGAACTGGTCTATTAGAATCTCGAACCAATGGATTCATGAAATCCCTTTATTTGTTACAATTTTTGTTAATAGCTTAAACATTATGCTCCTTATTTTTTAGATAGCAAAAATTTGGGCAATGTTATATTTGTGTTATCAAATCTATATTTCTACGACCACTACTTTGACTTTATTATAGTGGACCAAAATGGATAAAGTAGGAAAAGGAAAATGGATAGACTTGTATAATATCAGCATTGTATACATACTGTATACATAATTTTGCATTTCTATGTATTATGGCTCTTGTATTCGCTGAGAGGACGAAGGTCAAAAACGTAGAATGTATGAATATTATCATATTGATCTGTCTAACCAAAAGTCTAAAATATTAAAGTAGGCATGCATGCCATCTGTTCAAATAGAGACAACCAGATCAAAAAAAAAAAATACACCATGCTGTCTCTCTCTCTTTTCAATCCTTCATACTGGTATTTGTTGATAAAAACTACTATGATATAGTCTTCAAAATCGTATTAACTAAAAAAGATATTCAAGTACATCTACATCTAGTTCATGGAAGAAGAAACTATAACACTTCGAAGTTTTAACTATATATCTTCATGAAAAAAATGCTCACGAAAATACATTTTAAATTAAATACTGATTTAAATCAGAATCAATTTAAAATGTATGCAGTGTGTGAAAGAATGAAAATTGTTAACGGTGTAGGAAATTAACTTCAATGTATGCAAAATATTTTAACCGGTGATTCCGATATTTAATTCAGACTTACAAAAACATCAAAATTGTTGGCATTTGAATAATATCATTGTTGTTCCAGTGTTCTAAATTTCGTGAATTGGATGTGATTAGATCGTATTTGCATCATTACATATAATGATGATATCAATATTTTGTAGCAGATTCATTACAATAGATGAATTCTTTTTTTAACAGAACTCATTAGTATATGTGAATATATGAATTCTCGATCAAGGTGTTGTACAACTCGGAACAAATCGAGGAGTTCTATAAGATAAAAATTGAAAACGTCTCTCTTCGATTCTCAATCATTAATTTATTATATGAAAAAGATATTATCAAGAAATAATAGAGAAAGTGAGGAACAAAAACACTTCGAAGATGTGTATGAAGATAGACATAAGAGATAGTGAGAGAGACATAAGAGATAGGATGATATGATTACACGTGTTCGCCACTTACTCCTACAACTTGTCGCGGCGCCTCGTCGCCGTTTCTTTCTTTCTTTTCTTAATTTTTGTTTGTTTTGTTTCTGTTAGTAATGTTCTTTGTTAACTTTTTTCTACAAATATTTAACAATCAAAAATTTATGTTTCAAAATATCTATAAGCTTTTGATCGACATACTTTGTTATAAAATAGTTAATGTTCTTACTACATCACGAAAACCAACTTTCCGTACCCACTTGACGTTTTTTAAATCAATTTTACTGCTTATTGTTAATAAAGTAAATAATCTCTTACTGCGTATTGTTATAAAGTAACAAGGTTCAATAGCCAGTACATATCACTAGATTCGAAAGTCAGGGGTTCATGAAAGATGTCATCATCATCGTAACACGATGCCATCACGCAGTCTACTTGGCACCTTCGTTTTATTTAAATAAAATTTTATTTCCTGGTTCAGTAAAAATTCTGGACCGTTGTTTTCGACAGCCAATCGTACATATATGCCTACGCCATAAATTTTGCAAATATATATAACCTTGTCGGCCTTTTTCAAAATCTTTTACCAATAGGCACAGTTAGTAATTATTTTCGATTTAACGGATAGTTTACAAAAGATAGAAAAAATAAATAGTTTAATACTCCTAGTAATCAACTGTACTCAAATACAACTAGGTTAATTAATAATGCTATAAAAATGTACATCATCTTTTTCACCCACAATGTCAGCAGTATATGGAGCCTAGTCCAATTCATTTCTCGTACATTTTGAATTAAATGAATCAGTAGTGGGCAGAACAACCAAACGGGATTAGATCTTTTACAGCAACTAGGTTAATTAATAACGCTAATAAAAATTTACAGCATCTTTTCACTTTTAAAACGCCATGGAGTCTAACCCAAACCGGATTAGATTGGGTTAAATTTAATTTAAGTTTTCCAAAAACAAATATATATGTACATATTAAAATAATTAATCAAAGACGATTATTGACATATGTGACGATCACGATTTTCATATTACAAGGTTTTTTGTTTAGATGACATTTTTCTTGGGAATTAGGCTTTTAGTTCACATAAATGTATCGTCCTCAATCAAATGTTGGAGAATCATTTTTTTTTTGTTAAAGTGAAAAAGAATATACTTAATAAACCGTACTAAAGAGGCTGAGGATCTGAGGATTCACCAGAGCATCAAAATATAAAAGAGAGAATATGCTCATTAATCATACGTCGACCGTTTTTTTCATCTTCCTGCTTTAAATTTTGAAAATATTTTTTGTATGAACTTATCACATGATATAATAACTTACGGTGATTGTAGTTCTTCTGGACAAAATACTAACCAGTAACCACAATCAATTGGTTATAAATAGTTTTGATGATGTCGTTCTCTTGATTGATATATTTCAGATTTTATTATCTTCAGATTGGCATGTTTAATTAATTTTTCAACAATCCGGGTTTAAGAAACAAATATCCATCACAGTATTATTAGCTCTTGACCTCTAAACCATGAACGAAATTGTTAAATTCAATCTAGTAAAAAGCAATCAAAAGACTTATAAGATAATTGGGAATGAAAAGACTTGAAAACATTTTAATAAAATAAAACGTAACAAGCTTAATTAGATTTGGTGGCTAATATAGATCCCCCAGACCCGGTACAATTCATCATGTAAAAGAAATGGTCCCCATATATATGAATATTATTCATACGTATATCGCACTCTCCTATCTCCTAAATATTTGTCATTTTCCTCACCCAATAATCCTATAAAACAACAAAGACCAAGAGAGAAAAAGAAACATACACACACACACTAAATTAAATATATATTTAGAGAGAGAGCTAGGGGGAGATGGTGTATGCAGGCTACTGCTTGAAGGAGAAGAAGACATGCGTGAGATGGGTCGAGAGATACTTCGATGACTGTCTGTGTAACCTAAACGATGACGTTTCGTTCGCACTAGGAATCGCTAGCCTCATCTGCTGGGCCGTCGCAGAGATTCCACAGATCATTACTAACTTCCGTACAAAGTCTAGTCATGGTGTCTCTCTCTCTTTCCTCCTCGCTTGGGTCGCTGGGTCCGTACACTCGAGATCTCCAACAAATTCTTATTAATATCTCTATATTATTATTTAATTAACACGTACACTGTCTCTAACGTTATAATTCACGACCTTTTATCGATCGGTGCAGTGATATCTTCAATCTCATCGGTTGTCTTCTTGAACCAGCTACCGTAAGTTACAAAAACATAATATACTGTAGTTATACACTAATTTTGATGATGGTTTTCTCATTACTTTTTTTGTCTTTTTGTGTTTTTTGGGGTTTAATTGTAGTTACCGACTCAGTTCTACACAGCCTTGGTATACTCGCCGCATAAACATATGTCACCACAAAGCTTACGTGTCAATTCTCATTAAATTTAGCGACTATTTTCGAATTTATTTATTTTCATTCGACCGCGTCATTTTATTCTAGTATTTAAAATTTGAGCCTCGTAATTTTTTTTTGTCGAGTTAGCTCTACACAGTGAGCACTGTGGTATTGGTGATCCAGACAATTTACTACGACTACATCTACAGACTTTGTACACATGGACGAAGCAAGATCTGTCCAAAGGTACTAAATATGTTAATTATAAAATTTTTAATTTAATTATGTATTGATAATAGTGTATATGTTATAACGCTGGAGTTAAATTATGTTAAAGGAGGAGGAAGATGAAGAGAAGAGACCATTGAAACCACCGAAGACGATGGGATCTGCCATTTCCATTCCCGGAGAATCTTACAAAGCTTCTCCTCGGAAAGAATTCTATTACACGTACGGATTAATAAAATACTCATATTTAATTTACTTTGATTACGACTAAAGTTTTAAAAATAGTGAGAAAAAAATTATGCATAAATTTAATGCATTATTTTACTACTAGAGTCAAATCTTCTTCTTCTTCTTTCCTGCCTACTCTATTTTATTTTTCTTTTCTTTTTTTTGTCGTTTTTGCAAGATTTTTTAACAAACAGATCAGAAAGGTAATTATTTAACTTTTTTAAAAAATATAAAAAACCTCGAATCTATACTTTAGCTTTTGCAGTATTTCTTAGATTTATCTTCACTCTGTTTATTTTATTGTGGCAAGTTGTTTTTGTTACATATGTATGTATATATATATATATATATGTAAATAAATTTTGACAAGTTGTTATAATATATATATATATATATGTAAAGGTAAATATGTGTATGTTAATGTGAATAATCATCATATTATATGACATTTAAAGTTGGTGATGGATTTTTCCGGCGGCTTTGTTGTTCAGGTCAGCGAGATCATTGGCTGGAAGCGGTACACCACCTCTAAGAACGTCGTATTTTCGGGTGGCTAAGAGTGGCCCTTCGGCCATGACAATTGACAGTGGTTCTTCCTCGGACGAAGATGAGACAATGTCGACGCTTCCTGCTGTAACAGCTAAGGCTATTACCCAACCAAGGCCAATCCCAAGACAGGTTTTTCATTTCTTCTGTGGAACCAAAAAACCACTTTAATTAAAGGCCAAAAGACACAAAGATTGACACGTTTTGTATTTGTTCCTCTCAGGCAGGTTTTGGAACGTTCTTGGCTGCATCAGTTAGCCTTCCGCTTCAGGCCAAGAGCCTAGCGGAAAAATACGCACATGCTTCAAGCAGACGGCTTCTAAACGTGTGTGGCGAGTCTGGCTACATTTTTAATTTGTTATTTTTTTGTATATTGTATGAATGAAATGCGAGAAATTGATTTGAAAACATTGTTGTCTCGGTACAGGAAAGAAGAGTAGAACATAGCGCACTGGGACAGTGGTTGGGATGGCTAATGGCCGCCATTTACATGGGCGGTCGCATCCCTCAGATTTGGCTCAACGTAAGCCACTCTTTTAATTGAATCTTGATTCATCTGATTTTTGCTTATTGTTTATGGTATTGAATTCTAATCTGTTTTTTGGCTCTATATCTCGACAACTAGATTAAAAGAGGAAGCGTCGAGGTAACGAAACCAAAACTAGACAAAGTCAACAAAAGCAAAAATTAAGCAAAGCTGTTATTGTAGTATTTGATCTAATTTAACAATACGTACGTTTGTATACATGCATTGGCAGGGTTTGAATCCACTTATGTTCATCTTCGCGTTAGTAGCCAATGCAACGTACGTTGGAAGTATTCTTGTCCGAACAACTGAATGGGAGAACATCAAACCAAATCTCCCTTGGTTGCTTGACGCTATTGTCTGCGTCGTACTCGATCTATTTGTATCCTTTTAAACCATTCGCACAACCCTAGAATGAAGTTTTTTTCTTTTTAAAATCACATTCTCATAAAAGGTCTTATTTTGCTACCTTAATTCGAAAAACAAAACAGATCATATTGCAGTATATCTACTACAAGTATTGCAGGACGAAGAACGTGAAAATGGAAGAAGTCGACGGTTATGGAGACTATGTGGAAGCAAGCAAAACTTTTGTTTCGTGAATCACACTCTTTACATTACAACGATCATTTGACTTTTGTCAGCCTTAAAAAGTATTAGTTCGAGAGTGTATGTTCTTCTATGAAATCTACTTTGAGATTAGACTATGCAGTAATTTTTTTACAACTAGTAGGCCTTCATGATTGAATATATCGAACAAATAGTTGTGGATATTTTGCTTCACTCTCGAAACTTGATCTACAATCCAAAACAGAGAAGACCAACAAAAGAAACGTTCCGGTTAGCACATGATTGAAGTAATTGTTGCCGTTTTGTTTGACCCTCGAAACTTGATCTACAATCCAAAACCGAGATAGTTTCGACTTCTTGTTTCATAATCACTAACCTTAGATACCTGCAAGCAAGGCTACAACTGCAAGTATATACATAAACGCAGCAAGTACAAGTAGAACAAAACCAACAAAATGGAAGCTTATCTTTAATCATAGCAAAAGGATTAACTTAGGCATTTACGTTGTTATAGTGATCTACTGATCCGTGGTGTGACAAGGTCAACAAAACCAAAGTAGTATTACCTAGTACATGTACACATTACCAAACATACAAAACTAGATTAAGGAAAAGGAGTAATTAGTAATTTTATAAGTGACTAAAAAAAAGGTTTAGATTTGTTTTATTAAAGGAAATAAGATCAACCTAAGAGCCACACATTTCCGACGAATTCATCGGCCGGCGACAAAGTTAATTCTTTTGCGTCACGTTCGCTGGTACTTGAAGCTCAGTGTTATTATTGATACGGCGTCGCATCAGCGGGTGCATTCTCATATAAAAATTGAGAAAAAGCAACAAAATCGCACCGTTGAGCACAGAGTTTAAACTCCACGCGCCGATCCCACTGCATCCGCCTTTAATGAGGTGCATCGTAAGAACCCCAGCGTGAGACACGAGATTACATCCCACGAGAACTAACTGACAATTCACCACGAACGAAGGGAATGCCGAACCGGGCAAACCAAACCCGGTCCAAAATCTGTAACCATAAACCACAGAGTAAACCAGCGTGGTCGATAGAATTGCTAGAATCTGGTACGATTGCGAGAATTCGAGCCAGATGAACGACGTGAAGGCCATGGCGGAGTTGCAAAAGAGCTGAGACACGGCGATTTTCCGGCGACGGAAAACGGCGAAGATCGTACGGAGCATATGGAGAAAGCGCGTGAGGTAAAACGCGTACGACCAAAAGAAGACCCGACCCGAAGGACGAGTCCCGAGGGGAAAACAGAGGAGCCACTGGAGAGGAGTGGCGGTTTTGCTCCGCCGCCATAACCACCGTGTGTCGCGGATTTCTGCCGCGGCGGAGATGAGTATTCCGGCGAAAATAGTGGCGGAGAGAATCGACATGACGAGGCTGTGGATTTCGGGGATGTGGCCTAGAGGAACGGAGCGGTTACGGCGGAGGACGGCGGAGAGGAGTATGTGGAGGGAGGAGGAGACGGCGATGTAGAGGGAGATTGAGGTGATGAGGAAACACCACGTGGAGCCCCATGATTGGCTGTGGCCCCAACGGAATCCGACGATGTATGGATGTTCCGAGAGGTAGTAAGTGACAGTGTTAATCAGAGCCGTTGACATGGTTTTGATTTGATCGGACAGTGATGATGATCTCGCCGACTCTTCCTCTTCTTCTTCTTCCCTGTAGTGTCTTTTTATATGTGTGCGTGCGTTTTTTTTCATATGTAAAGCTCTGTTTTTGTTTTTTTTTCATTTTCATTTTCCAATAGTTGGTGTAAAACATAGGTTACAAAATGGTCGGTCTTGTCATGAAGGGAAAATGACGTGGACCAATATTATTTGTCTATTACACATGTGATTAGACAAATTAAAATAGGTGTATCTATGTATTATGAATCAAATTTGTAAAACGGTTATAAAAATTCAAAGATTTTGGTCTAAATTAGATTTTATGAGATCGTCGTAATAGGAAAGTATATTTGAGTATCTTGGAATCAAAAAGGAATCAGTAAACTTGGTTCGCGTCAAGTAGGTCATTACCATTTACCATACTCAGCCAAAATATTAAAAAGCAGGTGGGAAAATCCTAAAACCTCTCGACAAGAAAAAGAATTTTGGGTTGGCAAAAATCAGAGAAGCGTCGATATATTGCTTTATGTCTTCATTGTTAAGACGGAAGAAAGTAAAAATTAGTCTTAAAAAAAAAAAAAGAGTATAAAAATTAGTTTACTTTATAAATAGTCTAGTTTACGTAAGGTAAGGAAGTAGATGAAAAAAAAAAAAGAGTATTACTATGAAACAAAATGTAATATCGGAATATGCGTCGGGCGATTATTACAAAGACGAACTATCAGTAAGTTATTAAATTAATATTTCACACAATTTGATGAACAACTAAGGTAAGATATTTTTGGTTAAAACAAAAAAACTAAGGTAAAATATTCGATACGTCGGTATTTGTTTAAAGATAGTTTATACGTGTATCAACTAAGCAAAGGATTAAAATAATAGTTGTCCTAAACGTTAGTGTGGCAAGAACTGTAATACATATCTCCTTTCTCACACTACGAGTAGTTAGGTTTCTTGTTTTTGCTCGCTGTGAGTAATTTGGTTTCTTGTTTTTGTGTCCACTTGATAGATAGTATTTGCCATAAGTGACGTTTGACCTATCAAACTCTGGAATTTTATATAGACGGTCGAAATTGTTTTTTCGTGAATTAAAAAAGGGATTGGACGGTGAACATACAAGTTACAACAACTACTCCCACGCGATACATGTTTTATTAATCATTTATGCAAGTCTGATGAATTAAAATTAAGCAACAATCTACATGTTGATATACAGAAAACGATTACATGGTAATTGGTGTTATGACAAATAAAACGAATTAATATACATTATTGAGACTGTGCGGATACAGGAATATAATCAATAATTGCTGTATTCCAAAACAAGTCCACACTTGAGGAATGAAAGTTTATATGCAGGGAGATTTAGAAATTTTATCTGTTGGAAAAAGATATGATATTAGTAGTTTTTAGTTTTTATTACACATACACATTTGTTATTTTATCTACTCTTCCAAATGTTAAATAAGCCGCACGGCCCGCACCTATTAGAACACTTTTTTGTTGTCTTATTCTCTTTAGTGACTATTATTCTTTCACACAAATCTTTGGGGGGTTAATTCGTCTTTCTCAGGTTAGGACAAAACGACACACATCGAATCGAACAAGATGCCCTTGATCAAAGATCAATTATGTAGTTCCAAGAATCTTGGAAACAGCAGCTGAATTAAGCTTTGGATAAAACAACTTCTTCAGCTCATCGTACCTCCCAACATCAAAATCTTGAGCTTCCATAAGTTTCCTCTGTTTAGCCTCAAACCTGCTTTGGTAAAACCCTTCAAAGGAAGGCTCTCTCGATGTCCTGAGGAAAAAAGCGTAACCAGCCATGAAGTATACCGACGTGACATAGAAACAGACTGGCTCCATAACATCCCATGTGAGTTCCCAGAAGGTTAGCCTCATGAACCCTGCGGTCTGGATGATCAAGTAACCCAGACCAGCCCAAAGCTCTCTTCTCACCAAGGAATGTGCTTTCTCGTCTATGACCGTCTTTATGGCTTCAAGCTCTTTTAGCTCCTTTCTTCTTGGGTCATTTGGGTTATGGATTTGTGGTAAAGGAAGCAGGCCCTCGATGGATTTGGTTACCTGATCACACAATGGATAGAGACAAAAACAGAAAACTTTTGGGTAAAACAAGAATTTCACCACCTTCTTTTACGGTATAACTTGACATGATTAGCATTCAAAACACAAGACAGCTTATGATCAGCGAGACTAATGACTAGTTTTCCAATTACTCTACCCTCATATGCAAAGGTAATAGGAAGCACTGATGATCAAGGAACCATCAAACAGAGAACCACCGTTCCTAAACCCAAAGCAATGATCTTCCCACCATTTCTTCCCATTTGAATAAACCAAACGACCAAGTATCTCTCAAACACACACTCTCTCTCTCTTTTGTATATTTTCTTTTTGGGTTTGGGCATCAAATCATCAAGGTATGAATAAGGCAAAGGGTTTTAGAGGACCCATTAACCAATCCAACCCAAAATTTTGGAGAGGAAAACAAGATCGGAAAAAAAGTTGTGGTCTCCATAGAAAGTGTTCATCTTTATTCACCATCTCAAACAGGGGACGCCTTCCTAAATGCCTCTGGTAAGTAAAACAGAGGTTTTCGAATCTCCTGTTGAAATTGCAATCACAAAGAGAATAATAAAACCGTAAAGAAAAATGCATCAGTTTTCGGTAGATTCCAAAATCAAATCAAACCAACAAAGAAACAACAAACTTTGGGAACTCAGTTTCTCTCTCTCTCTCTCTCTCTCTCTCACACACACACACACAGACAAAGGTCACATGCATTTGGAAACAGAGACTAATCTATCGATCTGTGGCAGGACACTGCAGATTCAGAGAATTCAATGATTTCAAACGGAGAAATCAAAGAGGAAGAAAGAAGTTACCTGATCAGGTCTTAAACAAACGGAGTCTCCCAAAACGATGACGTTCCCGGAATCGTCGAGCATCTTCGCGATCCAAGTTCCCTGAGCAGGATCCGAAGAGGAATCATTGCAGAGACGAACGAAATCGGAGTAAAGGATCCAGCTTTTCCCGGTCTCCATCAGCTTCGTCTTAACGACTTCGACATGCGCAGCTCTTAGCAACTTCTTCGCGTCTTGCACAGTAAGCCCCAACGTCTCCGTCTCCTCTTTCATCGGAGGTGAAAGTCCGTCTAATCGAATCCGGTCCTTGTTCACATCCATTTCTCGAAGCTTCCCAATCAAACTCTCCCCAATCGGAATCTCCAGAGTATTATCCATCCGATTCATGAAGATTTTGTGCAAAAACCTCAGCGAGATCGTCGAATCCCCAGGTTCCGGGTCGATTGTTGCTTCTCCTGGATCTTTGGGAACTCTGGTTCGCACGGCTAATGAAGAAGACGAGATACGACAGTTCATGAGACCTTGCGACGCCATTTTCGAGATATTGAACAATCGCTGTGAAAAAATCTTCCCCATCGCCATTGATGCCAGATCAAAATAATATAAAATCGAAATCAAAATCCCAAAAGACAGAGAGAAAGAATGCATTCGATACTTTGAGAATTGAATAGCTTAAGCCAAGTGCTTTATATAGGTAACCAAAGTCCTCTGTTTTACATTTTAGTTTACTTTTTGTAAATGTCTTAACAACCAAATTAACTAAGTGGGCCCCGTACACGTCAGCTGATATAGATCACGAGCAATTCAATTCACGCTGCCTTTTCGTGAATACTTCTCTGAGATTTTGGATAGCTGACTGCCGTCCACGTGGTTGGATCTTTGTTGGTGGTAGCTTGCGGTGCCTCCATAGCCGTCCGTTTAATATCTAATATCTTTGACTTTAATGGAAACTCAACAGATTTTAAAATGGAAGGCAAAAACGTGTCGCCACATATTTCTTTTTTTGTATCTTTTTTACATCTAGTAAATATAGTTATGTCATAAAAGAAAATTTGTTTTGATGTGATGTGTTGTGTTTATAGCATATCAGTCAATTTGTTTTTGTTTTATGGTTTTAAACTCCGTAAAATTTGAAACAAGGAAACAAAATGTGTCATCAATATTTTCTGTTTTATCTTTACATCTAGCTAATAAATGGTAATGGTAACAGAGATGATCTTTCTATGATGTAATCTGTATATAACTCAGTAAAGTTGAAACAGTGACGTGTTGCCACATTTTCGATTTGATCTCTTAGACCTAATGACGAGATTAAAAAAAGAAAAAAAAGGATAATATAATTTGTATATATGATTACTCAATAACATAAGCATCTTATGTAAAAAATGAAGATTATCCTTTTCTAACTCAATCTTGTATAATATTTGTTTTTTGGTCAAAAACTTGTCCAGCTTGAACAAATATTTATGATAATTTATTTAAATAGAATAGTTACCATTATTATTATTGAAATATAAAAAACGAACAGATGATAGACTCAATTGAAATAAAGTTAAATAAAATATTTAGTGGTTTCTGGTTTTTTTATACACAGACTGTCAATTGACTTGCAATCCTACTGGTTTAGCCCGGTGACTTAGGAACCATTCTTGATAAATGCAGTTTGTTTCTTATCTCTATCCGATTGCATAAACAATGGTGGAAAATATGCAAATGGCAATTTGTTTCTTTGTGCAAGTGGTCAGTTTCCAGCTGCAAAATATGTACTTTTAACATGTACTAGGTATTCTTCTTACAAATGTTTGTATGATGTCTATTTTACAAATTTATATAAAGACACACACACATATATATATATATATATTCAACTTTGAAAATCAACTAACAATTGTTCTTGTATATTGATATATTATATTTCGGAAGCTAATTAAGACCAGCTGCCGCCTAGTTAGAACCTTCACAATAATATTAGGCGATTTTAATATACATAATTTTTCTTTCTCTGATACTAATAGTGTTCACACTTTCAGAAATATACCAACTTTGTAAATAGTCCTCTTGTCACGCATCCTCATACGACAAGCCACTACATTAACAAAGGAAATCAGGTTCTGAAATTTGTGTTGCTGTTTTGTAATTGTCACGATCGTTAGTATATTTTTTCCTAATGTGATATTTTAATAGACGAATATATGCACATGCCTTGTATGGATAGGAAACAAAAAAAAAAGCACATGAAAGATGTTATGTTATTGAGAAAATGAGAATAAAATTCTGAAATCTTCACGCTACTTACCTGCACCAACACCAACACCACACGACACGGGAATTCCAAAAAGAATGGAAGCCATTAACCCTTGATTATACACCATAAATTTAATTTACAAGTACGTTATGCAAAATGAATAAACAAAAGATGTACGGACTTTGGTCAGATGCAAAGACAGCAAATCCATTTATCGATCGTACGTATAATTTAAGATTGGGGTCGAATCGAACATGGTTCCAACAGGCAATTTACCATCGCCTGGTCGAAAATAAGTTGAGATATTTATATATCATCATATATGGACGGCTAGTGACCTAAATTTGTTTTTTCTATATTACAACAAATATGTTTGACAATTGGTAGAGACATTACAATCTCCTACATTTAACTTAAACGCCGTTCTGAACATTTTAGGTGTGGTTTTTCTTACGTTAAATCATTCATTGTAATTGTAGTGTAATGCATATATATGTTTACTGAAGATGTTAAAGACTGTTCACTGTGGACATTAATGATGAGGACTAATGTAAGAATGGTGACCAAGACATACAGTCTATTGGTTCATAATAATTTCAGAATATATCATTGTTGAGTCAACATTTAGATTTAAATTTACATAATAAATAGTATGGGCCAGAAAAAATGGTGATTTGAGTATTTGACGATGGAAAAAGATGTTGGTGCTAGGCTGCTAGCTAGCTACGAATATACAAAAATGGACTGGAATAAGCAGAAACCCAAAAGAAAAAAACCTTTAGGAACCCAAAATTTCGGTTGAGTTTTTGATTTGTGATCCACTTTATATGAACTTGGCCCATTTTGAAAACATCACTAACTCGTATCTAATATTATATGTTCATTCGTGAACCAATATATGGGCTTGGCTCATTTTTGAAAAACATCAACTATTCGATCAAATTGCTTTAAGACCATGTATATTGAGAACCTTTCATATTTTTTACTTGGGTTGCTAATGAATATTTTGAATTAAAATACTAAAAAGGAAAGCTGGCCCTTGCAAAAGGATTTTTAGAACTGACCCTTAGAAAATTGCTTACAAAAAAATATTATAATAATCTTAAAGGATTTTTAATAAAACCCTCTAATATATATGCTCTAAGACCATCTCCCAATGGAGAGTTCTAGTAATAGGTTTTAAAATTGTATGTATATAACAATAATAATAAAATATTAGAAAGGTTTTTAAAAGAGGAGAGAGGGTATTTATAATCTCTTATTTTAGAGCTTTTCTCTCTATTTTTAAGAGTTCTCTTTCCTCTTTAACATACTTTTATTTTATATAATATTTTGAGAATTTTGATCAAAATTTTAAGAATCCATGGTTGGAAATGGTCTAAGTGGCTCTCATGATAAAAAATGATCTAACTCGAATTTGCTAGTTGACTTGAATGGCTCCACGAATCGAAAAAATGACGTCATCTTATCGTATCTTCCAGATCTAATCTAAAGAATTAGCGGAGAAAAAAAAATCTGAAGGATTAACGGATCTACCGGAAGAGAGATCCAACATTGTTCTGTACTCTAAAACCCATTGTTCTTGTTCATCATCAACTTTAAGCAGTTGACTAAACTGTTACAGAAACTACGAACAGGGATCTCTTACTATTAATCAATTACTATCCAATTTTTAGTACACGGAAACATAGAGATTACACCAACAAGAAGAGGGATTAGCTTCTCTCCATGATTTCTACAATTCGATCTAAAACAAGATCAGAGAGATAATAATCTCTAACGATTCCGACAAGAAACGCCAAAACCAAAAAAAAATACAGACAATTCAGTTCTGTCTATTGGCAATGTAATTAGCCAAAGCCAACAAAGGAGCAACCTTGTCGGAATCAAACCCTAAAAGCTGATCACGAGCCTCTCTATTCAATTTCTCAGCGAATTCTCTCGATTTCTCCAAACCCATAATCTTCGGATAAGTCAATTTATCAGCAATCAAATCTTTCCCAGCAGTTTTCCCCAACTCTTGAGACGATTTCGTCACGTCCAAGATATCATCAACCACCTGAAACAACAATCCAATACACCTCGCGAACTTCCTCAGCCTCTCGATCTCATCGTCACTTCCTCCTCCAACGATCCCTCCCAAAACCGCAGAAGCTTCAAGCAACGCCGCCGTTTTATGCAAATGGATAAACTCCAAATGCTCTAATCCGACGTCGTTTAAGTTTAGCCCTTCACTGCTTATATCCACCACTTGTCCAGCCACGAGCCCTTCGGTTCCAATGGCTTTAGCCAATTCCCCCACAGCTCGAACCACTCTCACCGGAGACACCTCTGGACTCGTCGCCGACGCCAAGTGCTCGAAAGCGAAGGAAAGAAGCGCGTCTCCGGCTAAAACGGCGACGTCTTCGCCGAACACTTTGTGATTCGTGGGTTTTCCGCGACGGAGATCGTCGTTGTCCATACAAGGAAGGTCGTCGTGGATCAACGACATGGTGTGGATCATCTCGACGGCGCAAGCAGCAGGCATAGCGACGGATTCTTCTCCTCCGACGAGCTCGCAAGCGGCGATGCAGAGAACGGGTCTGACTCGTTTTCCTCCGGCGAGGAGAGAGTAACGCATGGCTTCGTGGATCTTGAGTGGCTCACGGAGAGGCACGGCGGAGTCTAAGGCTTTGTTGACGGATTCGGCTTTACGGATGATGTAAGACATGAAATCGAAGGAGGAAGAGGAGAAAGAAGAAGAGGAGGATTTGCGATTGTCTTCTTTTGTGACGACGGAAGAGGAGACGATGGAGGAAGAGGGAGAAACGGTGCGTTTTGGATTGAGGAAGACGATGGGTTTAAGAGTGGTGAGGGAAGAAGATCTGGATCTGGGTGTTTTCGATTGTGTAAAGATAGAGGAGGAAGGACAAGGATGATTGTGTTGAACCCATGAGCCTAGAGTCACTGAAGCCATTGCGATTTCTCCCAAAAAATCCTTTGCAATTTGGGATGTTAAAAAAATGAATTTTTTATAAGACTGGAAATTTGGAGTCAAAATCAATTGAGATTGAGAGTTGGGTTGGCCATTAGTGTGGCTAGAGCAACAGATAGGGTTGTGTGACGGAATGGGCCTCTCCTAGTGGTGGAGATGACGATGGTTTATTTAAAGAAAAAGCATCTTCTTCTTTCACTATTTTGTTTTTTTTTTCTACGAGTCCATGAAAAATGCTTTCAGGTCACATAGATTATATATTTTCAACAATTTTCTGCTCTCAATTATTCAGATTATTTTTTTTTTAAATATAAAATTATTGTCAGTTTGTATCATTTTCTAAAATCAACATCGTAATTTTTTGTGAGTACAGAATTTTTGTAAATTACAAGTATAGAAATTTTTGATTCACATTTTATTTCACCACTATATTCAAATCTATGACCTCTCAATTCAGAGAATAATGACATTTATATTTTCAACAATTTTCTGCTCTCAGTTATTCAAATTTTTTTTTTAATATATAAAATTATTTCCTGTTTGTATCATTTTCAAAAATCAACATAAATCAATATCGTAATTTTTAGGAGCACATAAAATTTTTGACTAGAGAAAATTTCAGCTGATAAATAAAGATTATGGAAATTTTTGATTCACATTTTATTTCACCACTATTTTCAAATCTGTGAACTGAATTTAGAGAATAATGACATTAAAAAAAAGCTATGAAACTAATAACTAGGGTTAATTCAGTTATATTACATAGATGTAGATATATTTAATTCATATTACTGTTTTGATTAATTTATTAGAGAATTACAAAACCCCCGAAAAATAAAACTTTTCTGCCTCAATCGTAATAATTTAATATCCGAATTTATAGAAACGTTGCTAAAACAGTCTTTAGTTAAATACAATGATAAGTCGAAGAAAGGAAAAATCTCCCATTTTAAGTGGTTTATAAGGCGAAGAAAGGAAAAATCTCCCATTTTAAGTGGTTTATCATTTTGTTGGTCTTACTTTACTTTGACACGAAAATAGTAAAATTGGTATGAAAAATGCATCCCTAGTTTTGGTCTATGACATTGATTTTTGACATCTGTTTGGTGTATAATCCATTAAGCGCGCGCAAACTAGCAAATGTAAGTTATTGGTGAAGATTACGTTAAAAGTAAAAAATTACTGTTGAAGATTATTTTATGGAAATTGCGGGCCTAAGGGGCCCAATGTGCCTAATGGGTCTAATGGACCGAATTGTGATTCAACAAACAGCGAAGATTCTTTCTTTAATCAGCGTCGAGAAAAAGCTACGATTGTATCATTTCAACATTTTTTTCTTCTGTTTCTTCGTCGTTTAGTTTCCAAGGACGAGAATCCGGTGAGGGAGAGAGAGAGAATCGGCGACCTTTGATTGGCTCTTAATCTGTTTCGATTTTCGCTTTTTACACCGAAATTACCAAACTTGTAAGCTTATTTCTCCATCCTCGTTTGACGTCTTGAGTTTTTTGCCTTGGTGTTCGACCTAGTCGTTTTATGTTCCCCTTCCGATTCACATATCTGATTATGTAGAAAGTTGTTTTTTTTTTTCCTTTCCGATATACTATCTCACTATGTAGAAAGTTTCGATCTTTGTGCGTTAGTAGATTGAACTTGTCTGAAAAACGCGTTTTCCTTTCTGAGTTTTTTTTTATGGATCTTCGGATTTGGACTTCCAAGTATTTGGATCCGTTGTGTGAAAATTCCGATAGCTCTCTTACAAAAATTCGATTGTTCCGCTTCGAGTCTGCAAACATTTTGGTTTTTAAGTTAGTGTATGAGTTAGTTGCGTCTGTGATTTGATTTGTCGGAGGGAGAGATCATTAAGGTCTTCTGATGAACTAAAAATCGTAAATTATGAGTTTGCTAGTTAAATTTCGAATCTCAGTGGAGTATTTTATAGATCATACGTTTTCTGATTTGTCACAGGCTGTGTGAGTTTCAGAAGCAATGATTGGGTTATTTAAAGTAAAGGAAAAGCAAAGAGAACAAGCTCAAAATGCTAATAGAGGAGGAGCTTCTGTGAAGAAGCAATCTGCTGGCGAACTTCGTCTTCACAAAGGTATAAGCATAATAGTTTTGGGTTCTTTTTCAAGTTTCAATTTTTGTCGCTTATTTCCATCTTTTTTATTGTGCAGATATTTCAGAGTTGAACCTTCCAAGCTCTTGTGCGATCTCATTTCCTAATGGCAAAGATGATTTGATGAATTTTGAAGTGTCCATTAAACCCGATGATGGATACTACCAGTTAAGTAGAGCTTTTTTCATATCATGCTCACACTTTATACGGTCCGGAAACTCATTTGTTTCTTTCTTATGACTTTATACAGCAATGGTACATTTGTTTTCACGTTCCAAGTGTCTCCTGTGTATCCACATGAAGCTCCAAAAGTGAAATGCAAAACCAAGGTAGGATCTTTCTATTGCGTTCCTTATAGTTCCGCCTTCTACTTCGACTCTGCTATTGTGTGTATGTAAAGATGTTTGTTTGCTCTTTAGGTTTATCATCCCAATATCGACTTGGAAGGAAACGTTTGCCTGAACATCCTGCGTGAAGACTGGAAACCGGTTCTTAACATTAACACAGTTATCTATGGACTCTTCCATCTTTTCACGGTAAATAAATTAGCCGGATAGGTCACGCTTATGGTTTCTTTTATTTGCAGTTCCTTAAAGTGAGTGTTTTGTTTTCACACAGGAACCCAATTCCGAAGATCCCTTGAACCACGAAGCAGCACAAGTTTTAAGGGATAACCCGAAGCTGTTTGAGACCAATGTCCGGAGGGCAATGACTGGTGGATATGTCGGTCAGACCTTTTTCCCGCGCTGTATCTAACAAAGAAGCTCTGGTTCGTCTTCTTTAAGCAAAAAAGATAAGAACCGAACCCTTTATCCGCCAATTGTACTTGTTCGTCTTCTCAAGAAAACCTTGTTTGTTTGTTTGCTCTTGTAAAATTACATTATGAAAAACCCTTTCCCTTAGATCGAGATCTTGTGAACTTTTTTAGTTCGTGAGAATTCGACAATGGAGACTGAAAGGAATTGGAAACTCAAAAATCTGGGTTGTATAACATGTTTGATCTTTGTCATTTCTTGGGTTTCCTTTAAAAATGAATTGTTTTTGACTTCATGCAAACCAAGGTTGGATATAGAGCGAGAGCATTCTTAATTAATTTTCTTTAGGTCTGGTTCGTTTTTGTTAATCAAAATTTTGGTTTATTTGGTTCAGTTTTAGATTAGAAGAGATAATTGAAGATAGAAATACACAAATTTTGATTTTTTTCGGTTTGAATGGAATAAAATCAAGAAAAGTTATCAGTATTTTGTTTCCAATTCGGTTTGATATTTGTCTCCGTTTGAAGTGTTTGTTGTTAATTTGGTTTATATAAGTTAAGCTCTGGTTTACTCAAAGTGGTTTCGAAATTGTATGTGGTATTAAAAGAATCAGACAATTCAAGTCTCTCAGGCCATTTCAGTTTCTTTAGAAGTCGCAGTTTTGGCGTTTTCTCGATCTTTCTGAAAAACAAAATGCAATGGAGTGTAACAGAGACAACAGAGCCCAAACGGAAGAGCCATCATCGACAAAAGCCCCTTGGAAAGCGCATCAGCCTCACGAACAGAGGAGCCTTTCAAAGGATCAATACCTTTAGAGTCATACCCAAACATCTTCTCAGACAAGATCCCAACCAAAGGCGCTGCGAAAGACGAGAAAGACCCTTCGAAAGCACGGTCAAACGCGTAGATCATAGTACGGTGCTTAGGAGGAACAACTTCAGCAAACATTGGTGCGTTAACTGCTGAGCCACACCAAGTTATGGTAAGACCCATCAAGAAGAGAGTTATTGAGAAGATTGAGTAGCTGTCTGTGCTCTGTGGGATTGCTTTCAGAAGAATAATGGAGAATGGGATTCCCATGAATGCACTGAATTGCGCACACATCACTCTACCTGAATTAGGAAAAATCCGTGACATTTTATCAGCAATTATTCCTCCCATTAACGTTCCTATCGCTCCTCCGGTTGCAAACACTCCAAGCAAAGCCGCCGTCTGGTTATGATCAAAACCTAAAAAAAACAAAACTTCAAGATTTCGTTTTTTGACCGGTGATATACTTTTAAGGTTACTTGTAGGAGTTTGTAATTTACCAATAAGCTCAAACCACATTGTGAAGAAGACCATTGCGGTCCACGGTAACGAACCAACAATTCCTTGCACGACTATGATTTGAAAGGTCCGCACTTTAATCACAGATTTTGTAGCTGCCCATGAATCATTCCAAACCGATGTCGAGTTCGTCTTGTGAACCATCAGTTCCTCTCTACAGTTAACAACAACAAATACTTAACCAACCAAAACTTTTGGCCTTAAGAATCTTGAGGTTTTTTTTTCTTTTTACCGTTGAATGTTCATCCTAGGGTCAACGACGAAGAGAAAAACTAGTAGACCGATGACTGCACTAAGCGTTGCCATCATTATGAAAGCACAACGCCATCCCGGTATACCCCAAAACTCTGAACCGGCCATGACCGTTGCTACAACACCACCTCCTATACCACCGATTGTACCAATGAGATTCAACAAACCGAAACCAGCTCCTCTCGTGCCATCTTTGTAACTATCTGCTATAAAAGATTGAAGCGCCGGTATTACAATCGCCAATCCAAACCCATTCACTGCTCTCCATAAAGCAACCTACGTCACAAGAAGAAGATCTCAATCAAAACATTTTTAGCTTCAGAATCTCTAAGAAAAAAAAAATACAGATAAAAAAAAAAAACCTGAAAGAAGTATTTGCTGGCTCCAACGGCAGCAGTAGACAAGGCCCAACAGAGAGTACCTATTGCAAGAACAATTGGACGATCATAGGTGATGACAAGAACACCTGCTAATGGCGATGCGAGTCCTTGAACAAAGTTTCTTACGAATGTTAAGTAGCCTAAATCTGATGGTCCTGCGTTGAATGCTTCACTCACTTCTTTGTAAACTGAAGGCAACAGATTCTCGTCTGCTCGCTCCATTATCGCAGCTAAGTTTATGAGAATCAGTGATATCGATACCCCCAAAAACTTTCCTGTTCTGTACAAAAATCAGAGAGAAAAAAATGGAAACTTTCAAGTTCGGTAAGATTCAGAACCAGAGACAATGAAACAGTTAATCATCCAAATCAACTAATCGATGAAACAGATCTACGAGCCAATCAGAGAACCCTTCAATAGAACAAGATTGCGAATTGAAGAAGACAAAACCGCAAAGAAAACAAAATTAAGAAAAAACGGAGCTTACTTTATCTTCATGTTGTTAGCACGGAAGTTGCGAGGGAACAGAGACCGGAGGAATTCGAAAGCGACGGAGACAAAACCGGCACGAGTTCGAGCACGACCCATCAATAATCACAACTTGAACTCTCGATAGCCGGAGTTTGGCTGATTTCTATAATATCGGATCTTAAATTCGGACACAGATCGAATTCTCGTACCATTACCAATCGAAGACCCGCCGAATTATTTATTACAGTATGTTTTTGGATATTCTTAATTTCAGTATTAGTTTTTGTTTGATATATATATATATATATATATTAAAAAATTGTATCGATATTTTGGACTTATTGTACTTAAGATTTTTATTTTTACTCGTAAGAAATGTATTTAATTTTGGCACGTATCGTAGCTGAGAGTGGGTGGATCGTTACAGGGGCGAAGCGTCGGAGAACATGCTTACATGAATCTGTATTATTTTTAGGATGTAAATAGATTGTGACGTATAGTCTTACACACACACAAAAAAACAGATTGTGACGTAGTGTAACTGTTTTGAAAAAAATATTTACACTACGTACCTGTGAATTAATATAATTTCTAAGGGTGTAAACTATGAAATCGAGATATACATTAAAAGTTCTGAAAGAATATGCATTACCACCATATAATTTTCTTTCTGTAATGATCAAATACTCTTTAGACTTTAGATGCGAGAACTGTGTTTATTCCATAAGTAAAATTGCCTTTTAAATAGCCTTACCACATAACAGAAACTCAATGACTTGCGGCTAAATCTAATGCAACAACTTGACCGAAACAAATGGTCTTTGACTGTGACTAAGCACATTGACTTATTCAAAAACTTAAACTTCCTAAAGACTCTTAACAGTAACTCGCGCCAACAAACCCTCCCTAAACTAAGCTAAGTGAACTTAGCTTAGCTTATCCATTACTGAACAAACTCCGAGCTTGCTCCTCAACCTCTCATACGTCTCTCGTTTCAGGGGTTTGGTAAGAATGTCTGCAATCTGCTCCTCTGATCCACAATGCTCCAAATGAATTATACCATCTTTAACCAGATCTCGTAGAAAGTGAAAACGGACTCCAATGTGTTTGCACCTTCCATGAAACATTGGGTTTTTTGAGAGCTTGATTGTTGAAGTGTTGTCACACAAAATTGCAGTGCTTTCTTCAGACTCATGTCCCAGCTCACTTAGTATTCTCTTAAACCATATGACTTGACAGGCACAAACAGATGCAGCTACGTACTCGGCTTCTGTAGTGGAAAGAGTCACGATGGGTTGTTTCTTGGACAACCACGCCACTGCTGCATTGTCCATCAGAAGAACATATCCGGAAGTGCTTTTCCTACTGTCGACGTCTCCTGCAAAATCACTGTCAGTATAGACTGATAGTTCTCCTGCTCCTCCTCCGTTGTACCAAATACCAAAATCCAAAGTGCCTTTTAAGTATCTTAAGACTCTCTTAGCTCCTTGTAAGTGCAATGTCGTGGGTCTAGACATGTAGCGACTTAGCAAGCTTACGGCAAACTGCAGGTCTGGTCTCGTTGTAGTGAGGTACATTAAGCTCCCGATGATTTGCTTGTACAGAGTCTCGTCAATGCATTCTCCATCTTCATCCATGTTGATCTTACTTCCTGGCACCATTGGATTACACACGGCATTGCAGTTTTCCATTTGAAAACGCCTTAGAACTTCTTGAGCATACTTCGCTTGAGAGATATGAATTCCATTTGGTGTCTGCATCACTTCGATTCCCAAGAAGTACCTCATTTTTCCAAGATCAGACATATCAAACTCTCTTTCCATGGATGCCTTGAACTCTTTCATCATGACTGCATCATCTCCAGTATAGATCAAATCATCCACATAAACACTAACAATCAGAAGATTACCTTGGTTGTTAGTCTTGCGGAACAGGGTTTCTTCGTTTTGAGATTTCTCAAATCCTTCTTTGAAGAAGTATTCCTCAATCCGACTAAACCAAGCTCTGGGAGCTTGTTTTAGCCCATACAATGCCTTGTGAAGTTTGTAGACCTTATCTTCTTCCCCTTTCACCTCATACCCTTGCGGCTGCTGTACATAGACATCTTCTTCCAATACACCGTGAAGAAAGGCTGACTTTACGTCAAGCTGAAATATCTCCCACCCCTTCTGAGCCGCTGTATAAATGATGGTCCTGATGGTATCCATTCTAGCAACTGGAGCATAAACCTCTGTGTAATCTATTCCATGTTCTTGAGAGTATCCCTTTGCCACTAAGCGAGCTTTGTGTTTGCTTACTTCACCATGTTCGTTCAGCTTGGTCTTGTATAACCATTTAACTCCAATGCACTTTGCTTCTCGTGGTAAGCGTGACAGTTCCCACGTCTGGTTCTTCACAATGGAATTTATCTCTGCATTCATGGCTTCTCTCCATTTTTGATGTTTCTCTGCTTCTTCGAATGTTACTGGATCCGTTGAGTTTTCTTCGACCATGTTCACCATTAACTCTTCGTCCTCAGTATCGTTTCCAGTAACATAATCATTGAGATAGCGAGGTGGTCTAGTCGCTCTTCCCTCCCTGATCTGAGCAGGCTGTTCAGGTTCTGTATTTTGAGCTTCTTCTGCAGGTGTTGCAGGCTCCTCTACTGCATCTTCTGACCCTTCTCCATCACTGCTCTCGTCTTTATTCTCTTCCCATATCACATCATCATCATTCCAGGTCAGCTCGGCTTCAGCGTTATCGTGATCTCCTTCCCAGTTCTAATGTTTTGACTCCTCAAACACTACATCTCTGCTAATGATGACTTTCTTTGCCTTTGGATCATACAGGCGGTACCCTTTAGATTCTTCTGAGACTCCAAGTAAGATGCAAGGGATGCTCTTATCGTCCAGTTTGCCACGCTTCTCATCTGAAACATGTGCATGAGATACACTTCCCACACCCGGAAGTGTTCTACACTTGGCTTCACACCGCTCCAAGCTTTTTGTGGAGTTACGTCTTTTACAGCAAGAGTGGGGCATCGATTTAGGACATAAAATGTCCAGTTTACAGCTTCAGCCCAAAAGATTTTAGGCACCTTGCGAGATGATAGCATTGACCTGACCATATTCATAACTGTTTGATTCTTTCTCTCTGCGATCCCGTTTTGCTGCGGCGTATAGGCCGTTGTGAGTTGCCTTTTGATTCCTTCCTTCTTGCAATAATCAGCGAATTCATGTGAGGTGTATTCCCCTCCTCGGTCTGTTCTTAAGCACTTGATGTTCTTCCCTGTCTCATTCTCCACCTTGGATTTGAACACCTTGAACTGACTGAATGCTTCAGATTTCTCCTTTAAGAAATACACCCACGCTTTTCTACTGTAGTCGTCAATAAAGCACAGGAGATACCTCTTTCCGCTTGATGATATTGGGCTAATTGGTCCACAAATGTCTGAGTGCACCAGTTCCAGAACTTCTTTAGCTCTCCACGTGCTTCTTTTGGGGATGGCATTTCTTGGCTGCTTCCCCACCAAACAGTCTGAGCAAGTGAACGTTTGTGTATTGAACACAGGTAAGCCACGAACCATATTTTCGCTCTGCAATGTCTTCATACCTCGATGGCTTAGATGGCCATAGCGTTCGTGCCACAGCCTTCCCAATTCCTCAGATGCAGCTTGGAAGCAATGCTGATGGTTTGATCCATTACCCTGATCAATGATCATGAACATTCTGTTGGTGCTCATCTTGCTTTCTGCTATTAAGCCTCTCTCGTCGTGATAAATCTTGCAGGCTCCCTTCCTTATGATAATAGTCACCTTCTTCTCTTGGAGTTGTCCTAGACTTAATAGGTTGTTCTTGAGCTCCGGTACGTAGTATACATCGGTGATGGTGTATACTGCATCATTCAGCGTCAACTTGACGTTTCCCTTCCCAACTACTTCCATGCGCTTGTCATTTCCCAGTTTGACAGAGTGTTTGAAGTTTTCATTCATCTTTGAAAACAGCTTTCGGTCTCCGCTCATGTGGTTTGAGCAGCCCGAATCTAAGAACCATGCTTTCTTCCTCATGTCTTCCTTCCTCCCAGAGTACGTCATGAGTAGCTGCTCAGCATCTGTAATTCTGATTTCATCTTCTTCTTCAATGTAAGCCATCAACAACATCTCTTCTTTCTCTTCAGAATCGGCATAGTTGGCTTCTTCCTCCCATTTCGGACATTCATATTGGAAATGGCCGAGTCGGTGGTACTTGTAGCACTCCACCGTGCTCTTGTTTGGGAACCCTCTTCCTCGGCCACGTCCCCTGCCTCTTCCGTTTGAGCCTCTTCCTCTAGCTCCTGATCCTCTTCCATGAGTCACTTTTAGAGCTTGATCATCACCTCTGTCCTGCTTTCTGAACTTTTGTTCGTGAACTGCAAGAGAGCTCTGCAGTTCGTCGAGTGTGATCGCTTCAATGTCTTTGGATTCTTCGATTGATACCACAACATACATGAACTTCTCACTGAGAGTTCTCAGGATCTTCTCTACCACTTTGGAGTCTGTCATAGATTCTCCGTTACTCCTCATCTGGTTTGTGATAGCAAGTACTCGCTTGAAGTACTCCTCCACGGTTTCAGACTCTTTCATTTCCAACAGTTCGAAGTCTCTTCTCAACTTCTGCAATAAGGACTTCTTCACACGGTCATTCCCACCAAACTTTTTCTTCATTGACTCCCATATGATTTTAGATGTTCTCCGATCTAAAATCTGCTCGAACGTGACTCTGTCGATGGACTGATAGAGGTAGTGCTTGATCTTGTGGTCGTTGGTCTTGGCATCGTCTAGTTGTTGTCGTTGTTCAGCAGTGAGAACCGTTGTGGTTCCTGGTTCTTCATAGCCGTTCTCGATCAAGCTCCACAAGCCTTTAGCCCTGAAGAAATTCTCCATGACTTCACTCCAATGGTCCCAGTGTCCATCGAACTCAGGCAACTTCACTTTGTCATCTCCCATCTCTCACTCTCGATCTTTTGAAACTGCGGTTTCTTTAAGGTTCTCAGAAAAGTCCAACAGAGCTCTGATACCATTTTGTAATGATCAAATGCTCTTTAGACTTTAGATGCGAGAACTGTGTTTATTCCATAAGCAAAGTTGCCTTTTAAATAGCCTTACCACATAACAGAAACTCAATGACTTGCGGCTAAATCTAATGCAATAACTTGACCGAAACAAATGGTCTTTGACTGTAACTAAGCACATTGACTTATTCAAAAACTTAAACTTCCTAAAGACTTTTAACAGTAACTCGCGCCAACACTTTCTCACTTTTTCATGACGGGAAAATCCGTTATGACGATTAGGCCCACTTATTCATCACCAGCCTAATTTCAGAATCAATCTTTCTCCATTGATCTTTCTCTCGATCAGTTCCACATATATTTTATAGCCAAACAACCTTCATCAAGCGGCATAAACGCCAATCAATATTAGTTGCTTACGCTTCCAAAAAGTATCCAAATGATCCATAGATATAGAGCTCATGCATATGTGGATTCACAAAGACGAGTCTATATGAAACAATCGTCGATGTAGTAGAGTTTAAGATTTAACTTCATCATTCCAAGTATAGATCAAATCATAACTTCATCATTTTAAGGATAGATCAAATGATTATTCAGTTCTCGCCAGAGATCAACTATGGATATAGATTATCGATTAAAGATTCACATAATGGTTTACAAATCGAGAAAATAAAAATAGAACTGACATGCATTTCCACCTAATCCAGACACGAATTGGCGCGCGGCGTCTGGCGGTAACAAGCTTTAGTACAAAAATTCCATAAGTTTGTTGCATATAACTTAATTTCATGATATTAACTCTCTTTTTTTTTTAATTCGCGTTACTTAAGTACTTAAGTAAGTACTGATGTATAACAATATTTAGAAAATAACAAAAAAAAAACTTGATAGTTAGTACTAACTTCAAGACTTAGCTTCCATCAACAAGAATTTAGAGAAAATGATGTCTTGAGGAAATCTAGGAGTTTAGCATTGTTGAGTCGATGAGTTCAATATGAGGTTATATACGTATGAAAGAAGTGTTTGCATTCATTACAAAATAGATATAATATAACCATATGAACCGAACAAACTGTACCAAGTTGTATAAATATGAATTGAGTAATGCAATTTTTTATAATTCGGAAAAAAACGAAAATTTACAAACGCACAGATAATGTAATCACCAATATTGACCGATGCATTGGAACAACAATGATAATTGTTTTACCAAAAAAAACAATGATAATTGTTTATTTGGGACTAAATTAGATTAATCAATTTAAATCAAAGTAGATTAAATGTACATGACCACGCCGTACGATTTGAAAACTTGATAATATTCTCCCACGTGAATGATCTGATCCAAAGTCACTGACAGATTGTACAATTTTTTTTGTCTTCTAACTTTATAATTTTTCGGTTTGTGAATATGAATGATAAGACGTGGTTTAATATAACAACACAATAAAAACACACAACAATGTTTTTTTTTGTTGCAAATGGTATCATTTGATTGGTATGCATGCAGTAACAAATAACTTTTATGAATATACGATATGCGAAAATTTAATCTGTAAATAGAATTGGTTTTATCTCATGTTTTTAAGCTGAAAAAATTAGAATTATTTAAAGTAGGAATCAGTTTGCTGTAATCATAGCATGAATCCAGCTGGGGATTCTGCCTCCTGTCTTGGCTCACGCCTAACTGGAGCCGCACGTGCTCCGACCACGACGACCAAATTGTGTTTTATTTTATTTATTTTTTCATTTTTAATATTTAAAATGTTTTAGTTTTTTTTGGTACTAAACCAACATATTTTCAGTTCTCCTAATTACGTAAGTTGATACATTTTTAATGACTTAAGATTTATCGTTTTTGATGTATCTTGATTATTGGAAAATTTATTTTGATATATCTTTACGTTGGAGTAAATTGTTTGGATTTCTATTGTATTGAATACGGTTTTGAACTATTTAGACTGATTTTAGAAAATGGAAAGCAAAAAATATTTTTTTTTTTGAATTTTCGAGTAGACAACTCGAAGAAATTAAATATAGATTTATTTAAGACAACAAAATATAGATTTATTTATAATAAGAAAATTTGTGTGGAACTTTTGTGAGTTGCGTTTTTCAGAAAAAAACTTTGTTGTATCAATGCGTTACAAACATACAATACGACCAAGGCCGTGCTTATGAAGTAGAAAAAGAAACAATTCGTCTATGGGTCTACTTGTTTTTTCAAAAATAAAATACCTCATTTTCTAATTAAATATATTAATTGTTAGTAGTAAAAAAAATTTCTTTGTAGAAAATTAAAAATTATGTAAAAAATAGATAACTTATTAAAAAATATTTTAACAACACAATAAAAATATTAAGTCAACATATAGTAATTTAAACAATTAAAAAATTAAAAATTTATTGTTTTTCTTCTTAATTGAAATCTTACACAACTCACTTATTCTTTTCACAATAACAAAATAATCAATTAATATGTTCTAATTGCTAAATATTTTTTTTAGTACAATTTGTTTTATCTAATTTAAATTTAGTTTGATTTATGATTTATAATAAATTTAAAAAAAATTCAATTAATTGGTTAGTTTATCAACTTCAAAAAAATATGATTTAGATTTTAGATTGGAATATGTTTAAAATTGTAGATATGTATTATATTTTATGAATTTTGAAAATAATAATGTTATATTATTTATATGTATTATTAGTTTTATTTGAACTTGGAAAATTAATGGTTATTATTTATTTTATATTAATTAAATTAATTTTCTATAAATTAGAGACGATGATATATAGATTAATAGGGGTGTTTAGGGGTGTTTTTTTAAAACACCGCTTACGGGCTCCCAAACTCTGGACAGGACTCTTAATACGACGATATGCAATTATGTCGTCGTTTTGAAAAGTATGAAAACTTACAATAATTACTAGAATATCTAGTTTTATAATGTAGTTTTTACAAAAACAGAATAAAATACATACTACTACTACTAAAATGGTTAAAATACAAAGGAAAAGAAAAAAAAAATACTCCCCAAATTCAATGAATAGTGAAGGAAAACAACGCAGGGGGACCACAGCTCGTGCGTTACATTAATTCAACACGTGTAAGCTGACTTCAAAATCGGTCCCACGGTTAGACACGGATCGCACGTGCGGAGACAAACAAAATATTGAATTTATTTATATAAATCAGACGATGAAGAAAAGTTGTAGCCAATCCCCTTGAGACTCACAGAAAAAAAAACCCAAAAGAAGCAAATAATTAAGAAACTCTCTCTCCCTCGTGCGCCAGACTGACAAAGACTTCAGAGCCAAAAACCAGAAAAAAGAGATAGAGAGAGAGAGAGAGAGATCCATTGAGAGAGCTTTTCAATGGCGGCTGGAGGAGGATCATCGTCGGGACGAACTCCGACGTGGAAGGAGAGGGAGAACAACAAGAAGAGGGAGAGGAGGAGAAGAGCCATCACGGCTAAGATTTACTCTGGTCTTAGGGCTCAAGGTAACTATAAGCTTCCTAAGCACTGCGACAACAACGAGGTCCTTAAAGCTCTTTGTCTCGAAGCTGGTTGGATTGTTGAAGATGATGGCACCACTTATCGCAAGGTAATTTCTCCGTTTTAGAAAATTTGAGAACGAGTGTTCTAGATCAGAATCTGATCTTCTGGAATTATTATTTCATGAAATAGATCGGAAAATTTCCTTCTAGATGCAGGATTGTTTTGTTTTGATTAACTTGGATTTTGATAGAGATTTTGAGAATTTGGTTTTCACTGTTCGATTGGCTTGATTTTTCCAGTTCCCCCAATTTCGGATTCTTCGTCGTAATTAGATCTGGTTTTAGATTTGGTGGTTTCTGCTTTGGCCTTAGCTGAAATCGATTCCATATTAGCGAACTCTATACAAGAGCTAGTTTGATTATAGAGAAATTTGGGGAAAATGCTTTTGCTTCTTGACTAGACCAAGCGAAATCATTGACTTTGACGTTGGTGTAATCGTGTAGTCTTTTGTCACTAAACTTGGCTTGATTCTTGAAATTGTGCAAAACAGGGTTTTAAGCCACCGGCGTCGGAAATTTCAGGAACTCCGACAAACTTGAGCACAAATTCTTCAATCCAACCAAGCCCACAATCATCTGCATTTCCAAGTCCAGCACCTTCTTACCATGGAAGTCCTGTCTCATCCTCTTTCCCGAGCCCATCTAGACACGACGGAAACCCTTCCTCGTATCTTCTCCTCCCTTTCCTACAAAACATCGCTTCCTCGATCCCTGCAAACCTCCCACCTCTCAGAATATCCAACAGTGCGCCTGTAACTCCACCTTTATCCTCTCCTACCTCTCGAGGTTCAAAGCGGAAACTCACTTCAGAGCAGCTACCAAATGGCGGGTCTCTACACGCTTTAAGACATCCGCTTTTCGCCATCTCGGCTCCTTCAAGCCCTACCCGCCGTGGTGGTCACCAAACACCACCTACAATACCGGAATGTGACGAGTCCGAGGAGGATTCGATCGAGGATTCAGGAAGGTGGATCAATTTCCAATCTACAGCTCCTACTTCACCAACATTCAATCTTGTTCACCAGACATCTATGGCCATTGATATGAAAAGATCAGACTGGGGTTTGTCAGGATTGAATGGGAGAGGTTCTGAGTTTGAGTTCGAGAATGGAACTGTTAAGCCATGGGAAGGCGAGATGATTCATGAAGTTGGAGTAGAAGATCTTGAGCTCACTCTTGGCGGCACTAAAACCCGATGCTGATAATCCGATAGAAGTCAGTTTTTTTTAAAAGATGGGTCTCCTTGTGATCATAACAGAGCAAATCATCGGCACTGTACAGGAGCTCGCGTGGCCGAGGGAGGTCAAGGCAGGTCGCAAAGGGTCGAACCTTCGAAAGACCGTTACATTCTTCGTTTATACTTAAATTTTCTTCTGTGATGCTCTAATGTTATTGGAGGTATAGTATGTGTGTTTTGGTCACAGGACAAAGAATGGGTTTTGGAGAAAAAAAAGCAAATTTGTAGAGACTAAAATTAGTGTATCGAAGCTATTTGCGGATATAGTAATATCCAAATTGCTTAACAGATTTTTTTTTTTTTTTCTGAATTATTGTGATTAGTTTAGAGTTTGTTGTGTTGTGTTGTGGTGTGTAGAGTTGGGTAAAAAGAAGTGCTTTTAAATAAAACGAAACCTCCACGAGCGGAGGATAATGGACCCCTACACATGTGCTCTCTCTTTTGCTGGGACCTAAACAACTACCTCTCCCAACAATTTGCACTTATTTTTCTCTTTTCTTTCTTTTATAATATTCTATGTATATTCATATATTATTATTATTATCGGGTGTTGTAATTAAAATATTTTTTTCATATGTCGTAACTCTCACGATACAAGACAACATTTTCATTGCCCATTTGCTGAGGGAACTATGAGATATGACCCACGTTGGTTCCACGTGAGACTGAGTTTTTTTTTTTTTTGGTTAAAAGGCTTGCTTAAATTGATTAGGAAGGAAGGATCTTGACCAGACGAAGATAATGTCGTAACGAGAGGGATCCGAGCATGGGAGGCTGAATGCCTTCGACTTTTGCCCACAAATCACATTATTTGAAATTTTTACTGATGACCAAGATACTCCACTGTGGAAACGTTGATTACGTTCAGCCCAAATCTCATAGATACACCCTTGCCAAGCCGAAATAAGAACCAACGACATGACTTTTCCGTGAGAAGCCGAAAGCAACCAGGTTATAATTGAATCCCATCTTTCAGGAGGAGGAAGAAGCAGCACTTTTGAGATGACCGAATTCCAAACCTGAAGCGAGAAAGAGCACTCAAAGAACAAATGGTCTCTGGATTCGTTTGCTCCACCACACAATAAACAAAGCTGTTCTACATCAAAACCCCAATTGACCAAACGATCCAATGTAGGATTGCGGTTTAGAACAAAAAGCCAGCTTGCAAAAGCTTGTTTTGGGATTCTCCTCTTTGGCCAGACAACGCGAAACCAACTCACTTCCTCTTTGGCGTCCCTGATCTTATTCCACGTAAGAATAAGATTTTTATATAGCTATCCAGTAAATTTTGGTGACCAAGAAAAAAACAAAAATTTATCGGATTTTGGATGTCATGTGAATAATATTTGTTTTTTTTTTTGACAAATCATCTGAATAAGTAATTCTATGGCGTTTTTTAAACTATCTCCTATTCTATATATTATAATCATATAACCATTTATCATTCTCATCGACATATTTCCATGTAATAATAACATTTATAAATTTAACAAACATTCAAAAAAAAAGTGCGGAGAACCAAACCAATTCATTTGTATTGAAAGTGAAACCTTGAATCTGAATCACATGTTTTCCTTTTTTTGTTTGTTACTTTGGTGGTGCGAGACATTTTCATATACAAGTGATACGTAATGACCTATGCCTAACTACATTAAGGTTTTAATGTGAAGCAATTTTAATTTACATTATGAAGAAAATGACATAAGTAGTAAGGTTCAACAAGTCACAAGGATTGCATTTTGTAGCTTTGTCCAAAACAAGGGAAAAAAAAACATATCTCAATTCATGTTTCTATGCTTGGCTCATCTCATCAAAACATAATCTTAATACGCAAAACAAGCAACGACCCAAACACAATTAGATCAAGCAGTGAATAAAAGCATTTGTTATTAGTAATTTAGTACATCGCTACATTTATAGAAAAACAATTTTCGTCCAATCAATTCACCATTTATTATGAAAGTATTTAACCAAATTACAGTTCATTAACATGATCTTATAAAATGTTTCTTTTTAAGTTTAATAAATGATAATTCTGTTACGAATTTCACTCCGGTTTAATCATTTATTGCAATGAGATGTTCGTCCATTTGGATAACTGCAATCTTAATCCCTACATTCTTCTATATATATATTCAACACAATTCAGTCCAATCACCAAACACAATCTCATAAAGAAGGCAAAAAAACTCTAAAGGCATGGAGTTTCACGGAGTTCTAGTAGCTAGCCCGGGCATGGGCCACGCCGTACCCATCTTAGAACTTGGCAAACGTCTCCTAAACCACCACGGATTTGAACGTGTTACCGTCTTCCTAGTCACAGATGATGTCTCACGCTCAAGATCCCTAATCGGAAAAACGTTGACGGAGAAAGATCCCAAATTCGTGATAAGGTTTATTCAGCTCGACGTTTCAGGTCAAGATCTTAGCGGTTCACTTTTAACTAAACTAGCAGTGATGATGAGGAAGGCATTACCACAGATTAGGTCAGCGGTCATGGGTTTAGAGCTGCACCCTAGTGTTTTCATTGTTGACTTGTTGGGCACGGAAGCTTTAGCGGTGGCTAAAGAGCTTGAGATCACGAAGAAACATGTTCTTGTTACTACCAGTGCTTGGTTTCTAGCTCTTACGGTTTATATGGCGAGTCTTGACAAGGAGACCTTGTATAAGCATCTGAGTAGCAGAGGAGCGTTGCTTATACCGGGATGCAGCCCGGTTAAGTTTGACCGGGTTCAAGATCCGGGTAATTATGTCAGAGAACTCGCTGAGTCTCAGCGAATTGGTGCTGAGGTGCTAACCGCGGATGGGGTGTTTGTGAATACATGGCACGATGTGGAGCCAGTGACGATCAGGTCTTTCTTGGATCCAAAGAATCTCTGTCGAGTTATGAGAGGAGTGCCGGTTTACCATGTTGGGCCGCTGGTTAGACCAGCAGAACCAGAGTTGAAGCATGACGTTTTGGAGTGGCTTGACTTACAACCCAAAGAGTCAGTGGTTTATGTTTCTTTCGGGAGTGGTGGTGCATTAACAGCCGACCAGACAATCGAGCTGGCTAACGGTTTGGAGCTGAGTGGTCACAGGTTTGTTTGGGTCGTCAGACCACCAGCCGAAGACGACCCGTCTGCGTCAATGTTTGACAAAACCAAGAATCAGACAGAACCACTTGATTTCTTACCCGAGGGATTTATAGACCGGACCAAAAATATGGGTTTGGTGGTCCGGACATGGGCCCCACAAGAGGAGATCCTGGCGCACGAATCAACCGGCGGTTTTGTGACTCACTGCGGATGGAACTCGGTTTTGGAGAGCATAGTAAACGGTGTGCCGATGATAGCTTGGCCTTTGTACTCAGAGCAGAAAATGAACGCGTGGATGGTTTCAGAGGAGCTAAAGATTGCGTCGCGTGTTAACGTTGGCGATGGGATTGTGAAGAAGGAAGAGATAGTTGAAATGGTGAAGAGAGTGATGGATGATGAAGAAGGAAAAGAGATGAGAAAGAACGTTAAGGAACTGAAGAAGACAGCAGAAGAAGCTCTCAAGAAGCCTAACATTCCTTCTCTTTACTTCACCCAAAACTAACTACGAAAAAAAAAATTACAATACCATAGCAACAAAACAATGAACGTTAAAGTTTCTTTATGAGCCAAGAAGATATAGAGACAAGGTTCAAGAACTGAGAATCTTGTAGATTTAAAGACACGCGTTTAAGAAACATGAGCTTATGATTTATGTAAATGTCTGAATAAAAACTAAAGTACAAGAATCTATGTAATGACTTCAAAATATTTTTTGGTTTACAAGTGAAGAAGACATTTAATTGAGAGAAATCTGGGAGGAGATTAAACCGATACACATACAGGTTCGGTAGCTTTCTTGAGCCATTCCATTTCGGTCTGGTTCATGAAAGGGGCCAAGATGTCTTTGCATTTCAAATGGTATGTGTTTAGCCAATCGATCTCTTCCCGTGTCAACTGGTCTAGATCGATAAGTTTCACTTGATATGGTGCCTGGAGCGAGAGAGAGAGAGAGAGAGTTTCTCAAAAACGTGTATTGATAACAGAACCAAGAACAGTTAAGAAACATAGAGTAAGTAGTACCCAAGTGATATGTTCAAATTGCAAGTAGCCCTTTTCGCCAAAATTGAATTCGGTTTCAGCATCATTGACAACAAGAACATTCTCCAACCTAATACCAAAGTTCCCATCTTCATAGTAACCAGGTTCTGCAAAATAAAACAAAGCAAAGTTTTAGAATGTGAGGTTAACCGAAGAAAATAAATATCAATCTTTTTTGTTGCAGACGGACCATCTGTTACAGTCATGGTAGCTTGAAGAGGCACATTCCTAGCACTCGGTCTGAAGCTAACTTGGTGAGGTCCTGCATAATCCCAACACATAATTAAGTTACTTGATAGTTAGAATTTCAAAAAGATTATGCATATAAGAAAGAGAGAATAAAGAGGTTTCTCATCACTTGCCTTCATGAACAAAAAGGTAAGAGCCGACTCCATGGCCAGTACCATGCCGATAATCCAAGCCATACTTCCACAAAGGAGCTCGAGCAAGAATATCAAGTGTATAACCTGTTATATAGCCAATAAGAAACATAACAGATCATACTCAATATGAAGCCATACGATTCAAACATGACCCTTGAGATAAAAAATTACCGTTTGTTCCTTTAGGAAATCGAGCATTTCCGAGAGCAACATGACCCTTGAGCACCTAAGATGATGCCCATTATTACAGATTAGCGAATTCAGTTGTTCCAAATAAATAAGAACATAATCTTTGTAAACTTTATTTTTCGATGAGTACATACCGCAGTATAGCAGTCCTTTTCATGAGCTGAAGGTTTTCCAAAGTGAACCGTTCGGGTTATATCAGTTGTTCCATCGAGATACTTCGCTCAAAGACATCAATAAATTTGTATGTTAGAGAAGATTCTTTTGAATTACATATAAGGGAAGCTTATAGTATTTAGTACTCAGTCATGTGGATAATAATAAACCTGTGCTCCTGAATCACATAAGTAAATTTTGTCTGGGTCCATCTCCGCACAAGCTTCTGGCTCTGGTGAATAATGTATAATCGCAGCGTTTGAACCAACAGATGATATAGTAGGAAAGCTTAAACCTCTAAAATGCTGCAACCACATGAAAAAACGAGAGAAATTGCACCACCTAAATGTTGATTTTGAAAAAAATGATTTAAAGTTTAAGAACAATAAATGATGTTATATGTAAACATTACCTCTTTAGCAGCTCGGAGACTTTCCAGCTTATCGCTCACAGTCACTTCAGTAAGCTTAGAGGTCTCACTAATTTGTGTTTTTTGGCCAGAAGCAGAACTCATTACTTCATGAACTATGGGAAATAGATTGTAAAGTATGGAAAAAAACTACAAAACAAATAAGAAAGATGCTTACGTTGGTTTCTTTTTGTTTGCCTCTGCTTCCAAAAAGTATCCAGATGCTCCATAAAGCTCCTGCATCTGTTTATCGAGCCAAACAAGGTACTGAACAACAGCTGCACCATCACGAACATGTGCCTTTTTGAGTCCCTCCAGCTCAACCGGGTTCTAACACAAAGGAGCAGAACCAATATATAAATAGAACGTTACACGATAAATACGTTTAAGAGTGTCAAAAGAGCATTCCTCATTACCTTCAAGGCTTTTGAGAGGGAGAGAGGAGATGGTTGCAGAAGGACCTTGTCTGCATCCAACTTGGAGTAAAGTGCATAGCAGCACGAAGCAGGGTCAACCCATAACCGATCAGTCTGTTCAGAATCAATCTCCATGTCCTTTGTAGCCTCGGGTTGAGCAGTTTTAGAGACAAATGAAGAGAAAAGCCGATCAGAAGCAAGCAAGGACACATCTGATATCACATCTGTGTACTCCCGGACTTCTACACTAAGCCCTTTGAAATAAGCACTTGCCTGCACATTTACAAACTCGAATATCAGAAGTTGCATAAAAAAGCTGTGGCGCAAGAATCGCATAAGATGAAAAGCCTGACCTCATCGGATACTTTCTTTTTGTCCACATAGAGGAACGCAGAGTCGGTTGTAACAATTGCAAACGCATGAACAACGGGACAGTAGGCAACATCAGTTCCACGGATATTGTACAGCCAAGCAACCTGCATGAATGGCGTAAAAGCCCAATCAAGACATTTCCAAAGCAATCTTGAGCACAAAGAGAGAGAGAGAGAGATCATTAGAATTATAATCACACCTCATCAAGAGCAGCAATGACCAAACCACGCGCACTCTCTTGCTTAAGCTTTGCCCTCAAATCTTCCAATTTCTCGGAAACAGAACGCCCTGCAAACTCCAAGGGATGAACGATAACCGGACACATCTCAGAAGCCGGACGGTTTTTCCAGACTTGGTCCACAAGATCAGTTGTTGTCGGGATTAGCTTCTGACTCTTCTTGGCAAAGGACTTTCCCCATCTATTTGCGGTGTCTACGGAAACACACCATGAATCAACACCTATGTTTGCCTCTTCAGGGAGATTCTACATTGTCCCAACAATAACAAAACAAAAAGCTTCGATGAACACAGAAACAAAGAAACATCTCAAAAGTTATCAATCATCAAGTATTTGAGTGATTTACCTCTGACATCCAAACTTCAACAAGAGGATCTTCTCCCATTCGCATTAGTGTCCATTCGTTGCTAAGCTGTTGCATTGCTTGCAGGAAGTATCGTCCATCAGTCCAAAGCCTTGCTTCGGTTTTCGTGATAAGTGCCAAACCTAGCGATCAAAATCACCACCGGAGATCAAACTATGAGCAAGTCTCTCCGATTTTCGATCAACGATTCAAAGTAACGATTTTTCGAATCGAGAAAAGAAAAAGAATCAAACCTGCACTCCCAGTGAATCCAGAGACGAACTCGCGGCGTTTGTCTCGTGCAGAAACATACTCGCTCTACGTCGATGGCGGCAATTGAAACACAATTCGATCAAATTAAATAAAAATCGAAACTTTATCTTTATTGAATCTACGAACGGAAGATGAATTCAAGTAACATAAGCAAAATCAAAGATCGGATCAAGAATAAAAAAAAAAAAGGGGTAATTCAAACAATCAGACCTGGTGATAATCTTCGGAAGGCACAACCAAAGCATCAAGAGGAGGAGAGTGAGAGGCCATTAGTGACCTCAAGGAAGATAGAATCTCAGACATGTCGGCGTTCTCTTCGGAGAGAATTTTGCGTTATTTGGGTATTGTTTCAAGGACGAACACAGATTCAGAGGTTTTGAGAGATGATAGATATTAAAAGTACATAAATGTTATACAGTTTACGTCTTCCTAGGAATCCTAGTGGCTGACGCAATTAAAACAAAAAATATTTTCCCTACATTATAGCGATTTAAATTTTGTATAAGGAAATATAATAATTCTGATAAGAAATTGGTTTTCGATTCAACAAACTCCAGTGAAGCACAGTAACAACTTTTTTGGTTTTTTTTGTCCAAGGACGATGATCACATTGATGACAATGATGATTTTTTAAAAATAAAATAAATTTAAAAAACCATGTACACACTACTACCATTAACGTGAGAACCCGATGATGATGCAAGGTTCTTCGAGTATGGCGATATTGAAAACACTCAAGAAAATAGAATTGAAAAGAAAGGCAGATTTTATATGATTATTTAGCGGGAGGAGGAATTGAATAAAAGAGGAAAAAAATAAAGAAGCCATCATGGGTTTTTTTCTTTCTTCTCAAGGTTGTGAAAGTCTCTTGACTATTGCAGCCATGTAGTTTCCTTGATGTTCAGCAAGAGCCAGTTCTGTTTCCGTTGCTTCTCTTGAGCCATCACCAGCAAACACACCTGCTCCATAAGGAGAGCCTCCACGGATCGAGTCCATCTTGAACATCCCAGCTCCAAAAGTGTAGCCTATTGGGACGAATAGCATCCCGTGGTGCACGAGCTGTGTGATTGCTGTCCATCTGTAACCAACACCAACATAGATTTTAGCAAGTGTTTCAGAATCAGAGCTTGACATCATGAATGCATAATGATTCGGAAAGAATGCCGCAGAATAAAGGATTCTAATAGTACACTTGTTGAGATCTGCAAAAGCTTTAAGATGCTGAAGCATATGACTTCATATGAGATGCAAGATTCCGCATTGTTATGCTTCTCTATATTGCTCTTGTGTGAAAGGAACCAAGTTATAACAGAACCCAAGTGACAAAAAAAAAGGAATTGATTCCACAGAGTCAAAGAGTTGAAGGGGCCTGTAAGTGACTGCAAAGTGCAAAGAATGACTGACGAGACATTGAAGAAACTATCGCAGAGATAAAAAAAACACATAAATTTTACAGGAGGCAACACTCTCATGCCTAGAAATTAAGCAATTTTGGTGGTGAGAAAGTGGGAATCTGATCTAATTAAGTTCATTTTACATTTCCTTATATAAATCTCCCCATACTTGCCTAGCATACTCGGAATCCTATCCTACCAACAGAGAAAAGAGCCTACAAAAAGACTAAGACTCACGGTATAGGCCAATACAATTGAGTTCTGAAACTATACCTCTCCTAGAATCCCTTGAAA